TAAGGTTCTCCACCAAACCTCTGAGTCCTTCACAGAACAGTTGTATTTTTACTGAGACTGAAGTACACACAGGTGGACTCTATTTACCAGTTAGGTGACTCTGAAGGCAGTTGGTACTTGTAGTTTTAAAGGCATATTTCACTCTAAATACTATACTGTCCAAGCACTTGCAGTTTGAAGGCGTATTTGACCCTAAATATTTTATTGTCCAAGTACATGTAGCCTTAAAAGGTACATTTCACTCTAAATATTATGTTGTCCAAGTACTTGTAGTTTTAAATGTACATTCCACACTAAATACTATACTGTCCAAGTCCTTGTAGTTATAAGGCATCATTGACCATAAAATAAATTGACCATAACACTATATTGTCCAAGTACTTGTAGTTATAAAGGCGTATTTCACTCTAAATACTATATTGTCCAAGTGCTTGTAGTTTTAAAGGCGTATTCCACCCAAATGCCCGCCCAGAGCAGCACTTCCAGCCCGTCTGAAAGCAGAAGAAGCGACATCAGTGTCCACGTCCCACTCGGTCTCACCAGATGTTCCTCCATGAGCAGCTCATGTGCGGAGATCTGATCATTGCTGCAGTATGTTCGGGAGTTTCCAGCCCCAGAAAGAGGTGATGCAGCAGCATCCCTGTCCTGCCTCCGTGATTCATTACATTCAGTTTCGGTGGGCTCTTTAAGAGGAGAGACTCTCTGCATCTGCTGATCTGTGAGCCGGAGCGGTGCCGCCCTCCCTGCACATCCTGGACCGACAGACACCCGGCGGCTCGTCCTGGGACTCACTCGGCGCTCATGCGTAATGGATAATCGATGTTAACATGCGCCGGGCCCAGCGTCCTCTGCGTCCGTGCAGGTGTGAAAGGTAACCGGACTGAGCTGCTGCTGCCGGAAGGACACGGCCACGTTTGTGTGTGTGTGTGTGTGTGTGCTTTTTTTAAATCACCGGATCGGATCATACATGTTTCATGATACAGACATGACACTTCCTCCTGGTCTGCGATGGGCAGCTCCTCCAGGCGTCTAACAGCAGCCACCGCGTTTCCCCTGTTCGCTGGTTGGTCCGGTTCAGCTGGTTGGGCGTCAAGAGGAAGCAGCAGTTTGATCAAGTAAGTGTGAGATAATAAACAGGGCTGCACCTCCTCTCACGTAACTGAACCATGCTGAAGTTTCCTGCATAATAATGTGAGATCTGAGCAAAGCAGAATGCGCTGCAGAATGTAAGCAGTGTGGTTGGATGCGTGTTCGTCAGGAGCCCAGCATGTCCTCGGTGGTGGTGTCCGGGCTGAGTGAGCTGAGTCTGGCAGAGCTGCCCATGGAGAGCTGGATGTCTCAGCTGCCCTGCGCTCTGTGGGACACCCCCCTGTACCACCTGGCCATCCCAGGTAAGCTGCCATAGCACAGCACACTGTGGAGGTTAGTTGTCAGGTGGATGATTTTGTTCACAGTGTGGCTGCTGTGTGTGTGTTTAGTGTGACACAAATATGGCAACAAAAAAAAAAGAAAGCTCATTGTGCTGCAGCTCAAGAAAACACATGCAAATGGAGAAAAGACAGGAAAATGAGAGGGACATCAGCAACAAGAGTGCAGCAAAAAATAAAAGTACAACATGTTTGCAGCATCATAAAATGTACTATGAGCCCAAGCGAGTACAGACAAGCACTGCAAATTCAGACAACATGACTAAATAGGAAACAAATTGCAGATTAGGGCTGTTGCCACATACAGGTACAGATTATAAATGTGATATTCACAAAATAAAGTATAGATATCATGCTGATAATGCATATATGATAATAATGTAATTAATCTAGCACACTTATCTGTCTGAGGCCTGTGTTACAAAGCAGGATTTAAGGTTAGCGAGGTAACTTCAGGTTTAACTCTGGGTTTTCAGGCTTTCTGTGGTGCTTCACTTCTTACCAGGAGACATATGTTTGAGATAACTGCCTATTATTAGTTCTCTTGGAAAATGGTGACACCATTCATAGAAGATCCTGTGGAGCTTATGAGCAAATAGTCAGAAGGGGGGAGCATAGATATTAAAGATAGGCTAAAACAAAAAGAGAGAGAGAGAGAGAGAGAGAGAGAGAGAGAGAGAGAGAATAAAAAAGGTGAACTCTACTCTAACAGCGATGGTGCCACAAAAATACATTAAAATCAGTAGAATACTGTAATGTTCAAAAACTGCTAAAAATTTGGGGAAAAAATGGGAAAATATCGGCCGATATCTGCAAAATAATGACATTTTTAGCTGATTTAAAAGTAGTAAAACTGTAATTTTATAGTCATACATTGTAAAAGTGCAAATTACTCTTTGAAAAATTACAAATTTTTTGTTTGGGACAATATGTACAGACTTGGCCTTTTTTAAAATTCTGCATGTTAAAAACATGGAAAATCTGTAAAATAATTGTTTAAAAATTATTCACCATTTTTCAGGCTATAATTTACCTAATTTCACTTTCACATAACAGCAAATAACTATAAAATATTATTTTTTTGCTGGTTAAAAACAGTGAAAATAGTGTAATTGTACAGTCAAACATTGTAAAAGAACAAATTACCATTTTTAATCATACAGATTTTTGACACTCGATTTTTTGCAGGTTAACTTTGGCCTGTAGTTTTTATGGTTAACATGTAAACTCATACTTGTAACATATAAACTCATCTTATCATTATCTGTGATTTTACTTGTTGCTATCAATAATTGTTTTTTTTTTTAAAAGCAAAATAAGTGAACTATTGGAGAAATTTACCATTACAACTGTTAAAATTGTTCATTTTTTGGCAGATTCTCTGCAGAGGGAACTACAGTCTTTTTAGCTTCATTGTTCCCTGTTAGATGAAAACATTTCAAACGCTTGTTCTGAAGGCCCTGTATAGATGTTATAGTAAAAGACTGACTGATTAAAGCACTAAATGTGCTTTGTGACCTACAAGATTGGCAGTGAGCATCTAACTGGTTAGAATTATGTTTTAAAGTTTGTTCTTTACTTGCAATCAAAACTATTTACCAGCACCAGGGCTGCAGAGGTAAGAATGAGGCTAAAACGGTCTTATAAGAGTAGTCTGCATCTGAGCAGCACATTGATGTAATGTAATACACAGTTTTAATTAACTCATGCCTTAACGATGGGGCTGGGAAATTGATAAGTCTATTAACTTTCACACAGTCTGCATTTTTTAAATCACCTTTCTTTCCTGATTGTGGCTGCAGCTGCTGTGTCACTTTCAACTTGTCTTGCTTGGTTTCAGGTCATAATCTGTTTTACCTGTGAGCAATATGCAGCTCTGGACCTCTACATGTTTGTGATCGGTGGCGTCTTTTATTACTTATAGCTAGATTTGGAAACCCTGCATTGATTTAACAAGTCTAAACCAGCTTCATGCACCCGCTGCTCATTAAAGCCAGATAATTAAAAGAGATCCAGGCTATGTTACACTTGCTTTGTGTTGCAGACTCGAGGCTCTTTTATGTATCGGTTTATGTGGCTGTCTTTTTTACTATCCATTAAATTAATTACTTACAGACTCTCTGCATTTGCATTTTGAGTGTAATACATTTCCCTCCCCCTCATAAAGAAAACACACAATAAACCAAATTAAAGATTTTCTCTATAAATACCATAATAATATTGTTATCAGGCGCTCTTTTGGTTACGATATTAAAGGGAAAATCTGATACTGTGTAGCCCAAATGCAAGTAAAGAAAACTTGAAATGGTTTTGCAAATGTACAAAACTAAATCAGACTTTTAAAGCTGCATTGCTTATGTGTGTTGTGAAATTTGTCAGTTGCAGCGTGTTGAGCTCTCAGAGCCACCGCAGCTGTTACATGAACCAATCATGTCTTATGGTGATTAAGTGTATTATGTTTGCCCCATTTAGGCAGCCACAATGCAATAACCTACTGTCTGGATATGAACGACAGATCCCCTGTTGACCTCATGCAGCCAGACCTGCTTCAAAAGCTGGACAAATTCATGAAGCCCCTCATTCGCCCCTTTGTGTACAAGTGGGCAATAACACAGGTAATGAATCACACGAGCTACTTGTCATTGCAGAAGATGTTTGGTGACACCTAAAGCTGGGCCTCCAATAATGAATTCTGCATGTGATTTCTTGCAGGAGTTCACTATAAAGCAGCAGCTGGACTGTGGGGTCAGATACTGTGACCTGCGAATCGCCCACCGGCCCAACGACAGCTCCACAGACTTGTACTTCTACCACGGCGTTTATACCACGCTCACTGTGGAGGTGAAGTAATGGCACGCAAATTATGTGATGGTGAAATTTATGCTCCTGAAATTATTGCATCTAGAGAAAAAAAAAAACTCATAAAAAACAGCAAGAGAACCGAGCTCATCAAACACTGACACTGAATCCTCCTAAAATTACGGTAAAGTCCTAAATTTAGAGGTTCATTTGTCATGTTCCTGTTAAAAAATCATGGAGAATCAACATAATATTTGTATTTTACATGTTTTATTCTTAAAGTGACCGTATGTGTCTTTTCCTGAACACTACAGCCACAAGTGATGAGTGCAAAATAACGTAAAATGCTAAAATGTAGTGTAATTCTAAAACAGTCATACAGTTAGTATACTCACTCAGCAGTTTCAGATATGGAGCAACATCTATCCAAAGTTTCCTACCAATCACCAACATAAACTACTAGATCATGAAGGCTGTGTCAGCAAAACCACAGAGTTGTGTAAATTAAGTGAGGATGATTTTTATGTCAGATGAATTAAATTTTATTATTTAAGTTATTTAGTTTTAGCTGAGGGCACATAGACAGGGAATCTGAACTCCTGCACATCTATTTTATGAGACAGGCACGTACGAGAGGGATAGAAGAGTTTCAGATATATTCTCACATGCTGTCTAACGTATAAAAATACATTATAACATCCAAAAACTTATGGACCATTTCTGTGCTATCAGGCCAATGGCTTGTTTCAAAGAGAAGCTATCTTAAATAGGCAGTGATTGTAACTTTTCAACCAGTTTCCTCACGTGCTATCAGAGGACATGATTCCCAAAACATCGTTCTGCTGAATAACAATTTCCAATGACACACAGAGAATCACTCTATTTAGCAGCAATCGTAAATGTATCCCAAACTTGTTCACATTAAATGGAGAAAATGCTGTGAAGGGAATCCTTAAAAACCCAAACATCAAAACCACATTACCCCCAAAAATATACATCTCCAAAATCATGCAGAGACCAAATGTAGATGAACTTTCAGAGATACATTTGCATGACAAGTGAAAAAAAGCAAGTTAGACAGTTGTGGAGTCTATTACGCTGGTGGCAGTTTTACTTGGTCTGTATTTAACCAGAGAAATCTTGGAACTGTACATGCTTTTCAACCAATCAATTGGTTGTGGGGGAAAAAAAATCTGCACATTATCTCTATATGAACTACATGGTTCACAGTGCACTGAGTGTACTCTATCTGGTAGCCTTATTAGCCTAAAACAATTGTACATAAACATAAAAAGATAGGATTTGCAGCATATTAAACCATTTTGATGCTTGTATTTGCTTCGACAATTCTCATCATATATTTTTTCCATTTTGATGAGAGTGGATTCTTCACATCCACCTTGATCTGGTTGTTGCTGCTGCTACCGGCAAACGCTATCATTGGATTCACCAGACGTTATATAAACATTCTTAGACCAGACGCACTGAAATATGCCTGTTGTTTGATGTTTACTCTCAAAGCTTTAAGCATTAACATGAAAGTTGGCGTAACATCCTCATGTAGATACATTAACCTGCTGATTTTCGAGGATATGCCAGTGTTGGTTGTTGAGCTCTGATTAGAGTCCATAAAGTCATGCACCATATAACAAAAAGTTCAAAAGTATGTCAAGCAGCTTGTATGATAAATGCAGTGTATTTCAATCATCTATGCTCTCCTGCAAAGGTGCAATGTGTTCAGAAGAAAAAATAACTTATCTATCTAGAGCACTTTTGCCAAGTTATTACAGACTTGATATTTTCATTTTGTTGTAGACACAAGTGCTGAAGCCAAAAATCAGTGCTGCCTGATAACGGCACCTGGCAGCGTGACAAGTTTAGGGAGTGCTGCGAGCTTGAAATGTAAGGCTGTGACTTGTAAATGGTATCTTTTGTTTCACGGACAGACCGTCCTGATGGAGATAAGAGAGTGGCTGGACGCTCATCCCAAAGAAGTGGTCATCCTCTCCTTCAGTCACTTCCTTGGCCTGAGCCAGGAGCTCCACATGCTGCTGCTCACAACCATCCGCAACACGTTCACCTCCAAACTCTGTCCCAAAACGGTACAGCTGTGCTTCCTGTTCTGTATAAGAATCTGAAACATAAGGCTCATCACATTTTACATCGTTCTTATTGTCAGCAAATCCCAAAAAACAGCAGCTAATGCAAAATCGCATGTGTCTTTTTCCTCTGTGCAGTAGAAATGCAGCAGATTGTTGTCCAAAAACTACTAGTACCACATCAGTGAGGCACACTGTTGCACTGAGTGTTCCCTGTAGTTTGTTTTGACTTCATCACACCAGTGAGCCACAACATTGTAACCATGACAGGGGAAGTAAATGACTTTGAGCTACTGAGGCCACTGAGCTTCTCCTTTGGTTCTCGTAACTGTTTCAAGAGACTTCCTCAGTTCTAACTGACTGACAAGGAGTCCCAGGTGTTTATTCTCACCACCACAGCCCAGATCTACATGACTCAAGGTGTGAATAAATGTGAAACTTACTAGGATGGGTCTCAGGACTGCATTATAAATACCTGATAAGTGGAACTGAAGACTATATTCTCTGTTCCAATTCAACACAGATGGCTTCCTTCAGTCCTCTTTCAAACCATCTATCGGCTCTGTCCAGAATGTGGACACTGCTGTTCTCAAAGGAACATTGTCTTCAGATACAGATGGATTGTTATCAGATGTTAAAATAAATACCTTGGACTCGTCACCAGTCAGTCAAAACTGAGGAAGTCTCTTGGATGACAGGTGAAACGTCTTTAAGAACCAAAAAATATGTCCAGTTGCCTTCTACTGAAGCACTTACGACTAGCAGGACCTGCATGACTGAGCATCTACACAGACATGGGACAGTGTTCTGCTGGGAAATCTCGGGACTTTGCATTCAATTGGACATTACTTTGATATGTACCACCCACTTAAACATTGCAAGCCAAGCACATCTACCCCAAACCAGTGGTCTCCCCAGTAGGACAATGCTTCCTGCCACATTGTAAAAACTGCTTGAGGAACATGACAAAGAGCCCATGGTGTTGGTCCAGCCTTCAAACTCCCCAGATCCCAATCTGACTGGAGCAACCTTGATTCATGGAGGCCTCACCCTCCAATAACCAAAGGATCCGCAACCAGTGTCCCGGTGCCAGACACCACAGGACACCTCTAGAGAGTCTGTGTTCATACCCCGAAGGGTCCTAGCAATTTTGATGGCACCAAGAGGACCTGCACAACATTAGACAGATGGTTCTAATGTTGTGGCATGCACCATCCTGCTGTAGATGATCACTGGAGCACTCAGCGTTTATTAGTCCGCAACTGAAAATAGTCCCCAACTGATACACTGCATAATCCTATTTGAGTGTCCTTTAATAAAAAACCACACTGCACAGCTAATTAAAAAACAAATAAATGTGACCTCTTGAAGATTGTTACATCTTCAGTAGTAATTAATCAACTCGAGGTTGACGGTACTCAGATGACCACATCATTGGTTTGGTCTTTATTATGTATGGGATTTGTTGATAATAAGAAAAATACAGAATAATTCCAACCTCGTCCCTAAAATTCGCACAAAAATTAAACTAAACTCTTTATGTTGTTGTTGCTTTCAGGAGCCGTTAACTCTTCGGAACCTGTGGGCTTTAGGCTACCAAGTGATTGTGTCCTATGAACACACTATTTCCAGCTTACACAGTGAACTGTGGCCACACATTCCTTACTGGTGGGCCAACAAATGCAAAGCTGAGTCTCTTATTGAGGAGTTCGAACACAGAAAACAGCATGGCAGACCAGGTAGTTGACTGTTTACTTATAATGTCAAACACATGCAAGGAGTAACATGTATGTATCACTTTAATTTAGAATAAAACTGTGTGTGTTTTGTGTTTCAGGTGGTTTCTTTGTCACAGGAATCAATCTGACAGAGGACCTGAAGTACATCTGCACACATCCGACAGAGTCGCTGAAGGACTTGGTAATGTCCACGTATCCGACACTGCTCAGCTGGGTTAAAGAGCAGACTCCTGGATCCAGAGTCGGCTCTCTCAACATCATTGCTGGAGACTTTATCACGGAGAGCGACTTTGTACCGACTGTCGTTACACTGAACGAGAAACTTCTGAAATGGTCCTCATGACTTTTCACCAATAAGCATGATTCTACAACAAACAAACAAACAAACAAACAAAAAAAACCACGAACACAGCATGAAATACAGTCAAGCTTGTTTTGTTAAGAGTGTCAGAAAAATACTTGAATTATTCATTTCAACATAAATGCACTTGCTGGAGGCAGTGACACGTGCATTTCAGTCTGAAAGCTGCTTTTTGATATTTTGACCTGCACTTGTTTGTTTACATTCAGTTCACTATTTATGCAATGTACTGTATCAGTTTTCACAAGTCAGCAAGGCAGCCAGGTTTATGTTACGCTGACCAAAGCAATAACGATACAACTAATCTCACCTTAACGTAGGCATTTTAGACGAGTAAGCACAAATAATGTATTCAATGAGCACATATGACTGTAATGTAGGACACAAACTTTTATAATTCTAACATGAGCAGTAAACTGTATCAGCTACAATACATCTATTTAACTATAGAGAATGTAGAGAAGATGTGAACTTATGCAAAATGCATGGAAAACCTATTTGCATGAACCCAACCTTGACTGTTCTACTACTTTAGCCAATAGGTTCAGCCTTGATTTAACATAACGCTGCACCGCTGTGCCTGTGGAGATAAGCTTTTCAAATAAACATGAGCATTTTTAAGCAAAACATTTCATATTTTTTAGACGGATTAATATTATGCTTTTATTTCATAAGTGTAAGTGTAGCTCCTAAGGCTTTTCCTCCAAATACACCTGTGCTGGAGTTTCAGTCTGAACTGACCGTTTGTTTCAGTTGCACAAATGAGGTCACCATGTGTTCAGTGTTTTTGGCCAGAGGGAATGTCAAACCATGGGGTCCCTAAAGGGCCACATAGGAGAAAAAAGCTTTTGTTTTCTCTGCCAGTATGTGTTTCTATAGAATTGCTTGTATGACATCACCTGTGTGAAACGCTGCTGCAACTCTGGGGTCAGTTCAGTTCAGTTCCATCATAATGGCCAACAAGAGGAAAAACATTTTCCTACTCAGTTGAGTTTACTGTAGGAGCCACAAAATATTTCCCTTTGTCATTTTTATAAAATTAAGAATATAATTCTTATAATGCCCAACTGTGCCTGAAGTTTAAAGTTATTTACAACATGAGGAAAATTTGTACTAATGGTAGCTGCTAGTCATTTAATAATGTATTTCGTCTTGAGGCTGAATGTGCCACTGGAAAATGACTGAGGAATAATTATTAACCCTTTTCGTATAGGACTTTTCTAAAACTAAGTTACAATGCGATGCACAAAGCACACATTTAGAATACAGAGAATAAAAACAGAGATACAGAAAATGTATACAGATAGCCACAGGAAAATGGTGCACCAGCTAAAAGAAGACCTTGTGAAAAAACAAGGTAATCCAGGAGTATAAACTGTAAAATAAAAGCCAAGCAAAGCACTAAAACACCCAATGAAAACTTAAAATCAGTTGTAAAGTTTACTGGTAACCAATCAAAGCCAGCAAGAAACGGAGTCATGCTGTCGGTTCTCCTGGAACGAGTTTAAAGCAGAGCAATTTTAATTGAATTGCTCAATAAAAATCTAATACATTTACATTATAAAAGATGCTGGAATTGTCCAATTCTGCTTCATTATTCTGTTGAAAAGATTAAAAATAACTAAATTTAAAACCAAATAATGAAATTAATTGTATTAACCATCTTCTCTTTAGGGTTGGGTTCAGGTTTTTTCTGTTTTTGTTTTGTGATCACTTTCATTTAAAGACTGAAGTCCACCTCATAATGCAACAGCATGAGCTCTGATTGACCAGCGAGTCTCCACCGGTGCTAGTATAATATATATATGCAAAGAAATTATTTTATTCCATTATGTTGCTATTAAATAAATGTGACTTTTTAAGGATTTCCAAAACAAAAAGTAGAAAATGCATATTTATTTAATTTACCACTTGTCTGCTGTCATTTTGGATCACACTATTTCATCTTATCCTTTAAATAGTGCAGATTCTGCTTTGTCGTCTGCTCAATGTAAGTTTCTCTCTATAATTTAGTGCCGCACTAAAAATTAAACAAGGTCTGACCCACAGAGTAACAGGAGCCGCTCTCTGACTGGCAGCTGTTTCCACTGTTGTAAACAAAGGTGAAAGTGCTTTTCTCATCAGGTAGCCATTAGCAGGACAGAGACATTTGATGTTTTTTGCTATTAAAGGCAACTGAACTTGAGATAAAAAACATGACAATGATACAAAAGTAAGGACTGACTTTCCGCTTTTATTTCGCATGTAAGTTGCCATTCATACAAAGAGCCACTGTAAACCTTGAGTCCCCTTTTTAACATGTGCTTCAGTAAATAAAGACAAAAATGTCAATGAATATAACAGTAACCTAGCCTAATATTTGGGTTCAACTACGGCATCATATCTGTGACCCACTCGCATAACTTTGGAAACGATTTAAAGGCCTTTAAAGCAGCTGCCTTCAGTTGATGTTTGTTTTCAGCTGGAAAAATGTTCAATAGTGTGACTGACTTTGGCTAATCTGAGATCTGTCAGGTTTTGCTGCTGATAAAAGCTTCGGTTGCACAAGCAGTGTGTTTCAGGTCTTTGTGTAGTTGCAGGACGAAGGTTCGGCCAATCAGATGGGAGGAATCGCTTCGCACAAAGGCAGAATTTGTCTGAACACTTCTGAATGCATCCTGCAACGAGCCAGTTGGTTCCAGAAGCAGCAATAGAGGACACGACCTCCTACATGTTTCGTTGATAAGGTGGAATGATTTAGATCATGGGTGCTTCCTGTGTTTCTTCACTTTTTAGAGTTTATTTTGGTCTCATCTTTCCACAGAAGCTTGCTTTGAGGGAACTTAAGGTTCTTCTTCAATCTAAGGATTTGTCTGTCATCAGCTGAAGTTGTTTTCCTTTGAAGTCCACCAGGGGTTCCTTTTTTCTTCAGAACTTCCCACACCGCAGTACTTGACATGTCCATTTTAGTCTTTGATTTTGCTGACTGACTTTGATTTCTCTGCTATAGTCAGTTCTCTGGTGTTTATGTTTTGCCTTTTGGCTTCAAATGCAGTCCCAACTGCCGAAATGACAGATTGAAACGAAGGCTAGACACAGTATTAGTATGTGTGAACAGTTCATGCAAAAGGGAACACCTGGGCAACGAGTTACGCCAGTTTGTCAGTCATTAAGATGAGAACATGAACAATAGGTGCAAATAAAGACTGAAATAACAGCTTAACGCCATTTCTCTATTTGATTTAAAATTCAAAGGGCTAAAGTTGCAAAAACATCAAATTTCCCATCCTTTTTACTTATTATTAAAGTCTCTGTCCAGTTGTGGATTTAATCCCTGGTACAGAGATGGATATCTTTTTGCATTGTAAATCGCTGTAGGACAAGTAGTTAGTTCTTCTGTCAATGTGACCAAATTGAATGTCAAAGATCAACCTGGAAGCATTCCAAGTTATGATTTTTTAATTGTTTATATGAAAATTTTATTAATATTAGGGTCAGAGTACGATTCCAGTTCTATGAGCAGTCCTCTAGCAGGTTTCACTGTTGGTTGTGTGAGGAGGCCAGACTGGATTCTGAGGTGGTCATGGCCACCCCAGACCCTCCCTCAGATCCTCACCTGATAATAAATAACTTCATACCAATCCTCTTAATGTTGATAACAATAAATATATTAAAAAGCAGTGATAAAATAATGTGTTATTTTGAGCATTTAAAACTTAAAAACAAATGAATCAACCAAAACAATAACAGCTCTAAGGAAAATGAGATGAAATAAGAACCCTGAATTGTCCTGAGGATAAGAATGAGACAAGCTTGAAATTGTTCTGCATGTTTTTCTCGGTTGCAGGAGCACAATGAATAAAACTGGATTTTCCAAGTTCAGTGAAAAGAGCCGGCCCCTGCAGGGTAATCCAGTCATTTGGGCCTGTTTAATGAGTCCCACATTAAAAGGCTGTATAGTCTGGGATGTCACATATAACAGATAAAAAAAGGTCAAGTCAAGACACCATTGTTTAAATATCACATTTAAAGCAACAAATTTGCGTTAAGACCCAACTGTTATTTATGGTGTGAATTTACCTCAGTAAATCAAATACTAATTTCTGATAATATGATATAAATTTTTTTTTCTGTGATTTCACTCGATAATGAATGTTTTGTTTTTAGAACAAAACATGGAAAATCTGCTTTTTTCAACCTATTTTTAAGTCTTAATATACATAATCTTTCTTTGAAATAACAATAGTCTGATTTAAATCCAATAAAAAATAAAATTATAATTTTACGGTCAAATGCTGGGAAAGAACAAATTTCAATTTGCAAAAATACAGATGTTTGATATGAAGATTATGTAAAGTATTGGCCTGTTTTATTTATTTAATTTTGTTTTGTTTTTTTCTGGGTAACTTGTAAATTAATACTTTTAAAAATAATTTTACTAGTTATGTGCAATTGAACAAAACACAGAAAATTTGTAAAATAACAGTGAGTAGTTTTATTTAATTTATTGTTTAAAACGGTTTGATTTTATTATTTTTTTTACAGTGTGCATGTAGGAAAACAAAATAAATCCAAGTTACCTGGATCCTCTATAAGCAAGCTTTGTACTTATTTTCTTTTTTTTAAATTTTAGATTTTTTTTAATGACAAATACGCCTCACAAACTGCAAAGTGTAAAAGTCTGGTTTTAAAATATAATTACTTTATTTTATTTTATTTTTTTCAACATTTTCTTTGCCTGTGTGATTTAAATGGACAAAGCCCCGCCCCCTTTAGTGCTACGTCACGGCTCCACTGTGGAGGGTATTTTGATAAAGATGTTGGTTTGCTAGGCTGCGGCTAAAGCTAACTGTAAGTAATGTGTGTTTTAATAATCAGAGAACTGAGCAGCTTCATGTCCTGAAGTTTAATCGCCAAGTTAACCGAACGACTGCGCTTGGTGCCACAGTCAGCTGTCAGTCAGCCGCTCAGAAGAAACCAGGAAACTCTGAGTTCTTCCCTGAAGTCTGAAGTCGATCACTGAGAGGAGTCACATGAAGGCAGACACGATGAGCACTTTAATCAGGTTTCTCACGTCTACACTTCAGACCTGCTTCCTCTGAGCGTCCTGCAGGTCTGACGGAGCGACATGGAGCGCAGCAGCCAGGACTGGATGTCCGCTTTACCCGAGGAGCTGTGGGACGTTCCCCTCACAGACCTGGCCATACCTGGTACCTTGTTCTCTCTGTTTCCGCATTTACCTGTAATGCAGCTTTATAGGGCAGGATATTAGTATTTATCACTACTGGAGCTCAGTACAGCTGACATTCAATGATTGGAGGGCGAGTATACTCTACACTGATGTATTTCTGCTTTTTAAATGTGTTCATTAGAGCTGATCAATCAGTTGGCTTCATAGATTAACTTTAGTTAATTACACTACAAGAGAGTTGGTTGAAATTGTTGTCAAATAGACACCCTCATACAGCTTTAAAAAAGAAAGGAGAAAAAAAAGCCAGCTTGTAAATTCTTCTGTCATCTTGTTGACATGTCACAGTCAGTTGTTACAGAGGGGAATTTTATCACTCGATAAATCAGAAAATATGGTCAGCAGACAGAAATCAAAAGCAAAATCAGTCCTCACCCTGTTTTTAGCTATTAAATGTTCTATAAATCAGACTAGGGATGATATATGAGCAAACCGATCTGTACAAACCTTCAGGAAATAGACAAAGACGAGGTGCAAAGTTTGGGGAATGAGAAAAGGACATGTATTAAAATTGACATCCACAGACCCAAAGAGACAAAGAATAGTGATAAAAACATCGAAATGTGTGTTTTTGATGTTGTCTTTCCATTAGTCAGAAAGAACATGTAATGGATGCACAAACAACACATTTCAGAAATCTCTAATATTCACCAAATGTTCAAGACATTTTTAATGCAAAAAATATCAAAAACATCACTGTTCAGCTTTTAAAATGTGGACACAAGGTTTATTCAGTGGTGGAAAGAAAACTAAAAGACTATAAGCTTTAGTATTTATGTAACTTTATATCTGTATTCCAATATGTTTCAGAGAGAAATTTTGCATCTTTTCCTTTTTAATTAAATTTATTTCACAATGGCAGATTGCAGGGTCATATACAAAGCACATGATCAGCATATTAAAGATTGAAGGTCCGGACGCCGCTGTAGCTCACTGGGTTGAGTGTCCCATGTACAGGGCTACAGTCCCGATGTGGAGGTCATGGGTTTGAATCCCGCTCATGGCCCTTTCCCACATGTCCTCCCCCACTTTCCTATCTCTCTCTCACTGCACTGTCAAACAAAGGCCAAAAAAAAAAACTTTAAAAAAAGGTCCTTTGTTTCAGTTTATACAGGTCCTTGTAGCCGTGTGACCAGTTATACCTGCTCAGTTTGAAGTTGTGCAATTATTTCATTATCTTTCATTATCCATTCTACTCTCTTATGCTGATTGTACTTTTTACTTCAGGAGAAATTTAATTTACGGAGAAATTTCTTTAACTTGTTGCCTGAGTAAAAAACACACAAAACAGTCGTCATCGCACACAGACACACCACAGTAATTAAAACAATCAAACATGGTTAAAACTACCAACAGCTGAGACTTTGAGTAAAGAGGAAGAAGTGTTTCTAACTTTCCTTGAAGCCACTTTCTCATCTTCTAAAGCTTCATTGTGTCTGTTCATCCAGGGAGCCATGATGCTATGAGCTACTGTCTGGACATAAACTCCCCCCTGCTCAGGTCTGAGTCTGACTTTTTCCGGGTCCTGGATGGACTTTTTTACTGCTTCACAAGGCCGATCATTTTCAAATGGGCTACCACGCAGGTATGTCTGATACTGAAAGTGTAAAGTACAGCAACAACCAACCCGGCAACCCATGCTGGTCATCGGAATGTCAGAGTGGTGTGGGGACACCTACGGGGCTGAGAAGTCAATGCTGTGGGTGTTTTTGCAGTCAGCCTCTCAGATATCCCCTGATGGTTAAACAACATGGTCCAGAGTTTGAAGAGACAAGTCTTGTCTCTGAGATTTTTTTCCGTCGCAAATAGCTGCCGGCTGTAGCTGCAAACGAAGCTGCTGAGTGGATAAAGTGAACCGAAGCAGGTCAATGGAAAACTGAACAATACGAACAAACTCACTAAAGCACTCGTAGAGGTTAGAGGAACTGCAGAGTTGGGTGATTGAAAAAAAAATGTTGGTTCCTCAATGCTAAAAACAGCTTTCACATATGAGTAATAGTAATAGTAGTCTTTCTGTAGAACCTTTGACAAGTTTACAAAGGGCTTTACCATAAAACATATATCGAAGTTATGAGAACCAGAACTTTAGATGCAACAAGATATAATAATTAAAATATACACAGCGACAGCCATCTGTTAAGAAAAGGCCAAATTATAGGAAGACATTTAAAAGATGACACTGAGTTTGCCTCCCTGAGAGTCTCCTGCAAGAAATGTGGCAGCAGAAGGGCCGGACACCTTTGGTAATCATGTAATCCATTGCAAATCTAAAAATATTGATTTTAGGACCTTTAAAGTGCTAGTGTGGAGGACCTAAGGGGATCTAATTGCAGAAATGGAACATAGTACTTATGTTTATGTTTTCATTTCCTGAAAATAAGAATAAGTCAACAAGACGAGACCTTTACAGCTACATAAAGAGTGGGTCCTCGCATTGCCATGTTTCTATTGTTGCCCCGAATAGACAAACCAAGCGCTGCACAACAGAAGGCCTTCAGCAGTTTTGGTGTTTTTAGCAGCCTCTCTAAGTTCTTCTACATCAGTACCTGTGTGTCCATTATGTATTTTTGTGCCCATTTAGAAAAATGTATTGGAAATGGCAGAATTGGACATAACTAACCGTAGTTTTGCGATAAAAGTTTTACACTGGCTTGAGGTGGTTTTTGACTTTTAAAAAACGGGTTAATGCATATAATAAGAGATGGAAACACCTTTTTCTGAACAATCACCTCACGACACTGAACAGCTGCTTCTTTCCATTTGACCTAAAAGAATAATTACAGCTTTTCTGATTTCCTGATTTCCTGATCACTCCTGACAGCCTCTTTCCATTGTTCTTTCATAGATGGCCAAAACTAGTTTCTTGTTCTTCGAGGTCCTTTTTTTTTTTTTTTTTTTTAAGCTGGTTTTGTTTTCAGCTTCTTGTACTGTGTTTATTAAAGACCTGTTTCTTTTATTATGTTCTTTTGCAATATTTAAAGTGCTAACTTCAAAATTTCTCATCAGTTTTATGGATACACGGCTTGTAGCCTGCAGGTTAAAACATACCAACGACGGAATGCCGGCGGAATAGATTAATAAATATTAATAATTATTAAATAAATTAATTGAGTGACACTGAGACATTTTATATTTGCTCATATAATCAATGCCTAATAATGCCCATTTTTCTATTACTCAGTTCATTTGAAAACAACTATGACTTAGTTTTATATTTACAAATATTACTTTATTTCTTTTTTGACCTACTCCTGGTCTCCTGTCATTTTGCAAAAATAACCCCTGGAAACAGCAGATGCACTTGGAAAGAGGTGAAGCAGGTGGTATTCAGCTTGTTGCAGTGTTACTGATTGATGCCACTAAATCCTACAAACTGGTCCTTTAAGTGACATGTCTGCGAAAACCTCACAAAAATCATTACCGTAAAGTGCTACGGGAATGTGGTTTTGTGGACTTCCCTATTAAGAAATCTTCTCTTAGATGGAATATGTATCAGTGTCACTCTGTGCGTTTCATATCAGTTGCTGTGAAATAATATGTCTGATTGTCATGCCCTGACGTTTAGAGTCTCTTCTCTTCAGGACAAAAGCATCGAGGAGCAGCTGTCGATGGGGATTCGCTACTTTGATCTTCGTGTTGCACATAAACCCAGTGATTCATCCAGTGACCTGTACTTCACACACGTCATATACACACACTTAACAGTTATGGTGAGTTTCAGTTAAGTAAAGGCTTCAGTTTGGGCATGCATAGTGCTCATGGTAGATGTCTGTTCTCTACAGGAAACACTTGTGTCTGTTGCCTCCTGGCTGAAGTCTCACCCAAAGGAGGTTGTCATCCTCGCTTGCAGCCATTTGGAGGGAATGGACGACGCACGCCATGAATCGTTCATTTACTCCCTGAAGAACCTGTTTGGCTCCAAACTGTGTCCGCGGAAGGTCAGTGTTCTCCTTGTATGGGTGGTTTGTGGTATAAAAAGGACACGGCGCCTTACAGCACGTAATCGGTCCCCCGCAGGAATCGGTCCTGACCTTGAGGAGTCTGTGGGCATCTGGTTACCAGGTCATCCTGTCCTACGACTCCCAGGTTGCAGCGAGACATGAGGAGCTGTGGCTCGCCATCCCTTACTGGTGGGCCAACCAGCAAACGGCACAAGGAGTGATCAGTTACTTGGACTGGAACAAAGAGCTGGGACGTCCCGGTGAGTTTGGCCTGTTGGGGTTCACAGGATTCATGTTACAAATCATAATGTCCAAGTTTTTTTGTTTTTTTTTGCTCCTGTCACATTTTCACTCACAGTCGGATAATTTTTCACTGCAATACTAAGGAAACAGCGTAACCATGGCTAGAAGTAGAGAAAATTCAAAATTGCTATTTGTGCAATTTTGCACAGTTATGTTTTAAATCATTTAAAAAAGAAAAGCTGTATTTTGCAAAAATAGAAAAACCTAGAATGTACAGTTTCTCAAGAGTTTACAATTGTCACCAATACTAAGAAAGAAAGAGTGATTCTACATTATATAGATATTTTACTACGTAGATATTTTAGATCATTATTTTTTGGCCATTTTCCAGCCTTCATTATGGAAGAGTTGTGGAGGCACAGGAAAGGTTAGGAAGGAGAGAGGATGGATGACATGCCACAGGTCCGAGTCAGTTCATGCCCCCTGCAGTGGGGACTTCCAGTCTCAATTCATGTATCACCTGCTCAACCAGGTGAACTATTTGGGCTCCCATTACTTAGATATTTTAAATTGTTTCCATACTTGTGTTCCATCTGCTTTGTGTAAACACTGCTTGCAGTTCATCTGAAAAGTCCCTGTCCTGTTGACTGTTGGTCACAGCTGAGTTGGTCATGGCTTTACGGTTACTTCGATTAGTGCAGAATTCACTTTTGATTTGGTAAATTTTCCTGACATAACCTCATATCACAGAAAAGTAGTTCAAAGACCACTGGAAAGTTGAAAATCTAGTGATTCTTTGTTTTCACAGTTGTAGGCTCTGATAAATGGTGTCACTTCTTTAAAGGCAACATGTCTTTCAAACCTAATGGTGGGTTGTGGGGTTTCTAGGGTTAAAGCATATTAAGTATATTTCCTGGTGTGTTTTCTTCGTCCTCAGAGGGTTTTTTCGTCTCTGGCCTGAACCTGACAGCTGATAGGGGTTACATCGCTAAGAACCGGAAGGAATCCCTGCGGACGTTGACTTACAGCAACTGGGACAGTTTGAGCAAATGGGTGGAGGAGCAGATACCTGGATCGGACCCCAAAAGCCTCAACATCATCGCAGGGGACTTCGTCGGGCCGCTTCCGCTCTGCTCTCAAGTGATCGCACTAAACCACAAACTGCGACGGAAGAATTCCAGCCAGATAAAGAAGCAATATTAGCCACGACTCTAAAAGCCACATTTTACCTCATTTTATGTTTACTCAGCTTCTCTCAATTTATATAAAATTTAATCATCACAGTTTTAACAGAAAAACCTGCAGTTTCTGTATTTCTTACACTTAGTTTATATTTTTTTTAATCTAAATCTATTATGTGCAATCAGTATATGTTTACAAGAAAAAAAAAAACTTAAACTGTTACAAATTTGTATCTTTAGATATTTTATTATGCTGTACAATAATAAATTCTTTTCTTATGGAGTAGTTTGCAGTCCTTGTGTGCTGCTGCTGCAGCTGGAAGGATCCCTCCTGTATTATCTCTCTCCAAACTGTTTCTTGTAGCGTCCATGAGCGGCGGCGCTAATGATGACCCTGACGACAGCCGATCCTTCGTCTGCATTCACCTGCACGTCCTGAACGGTTGCTTCTTTGTAGAGCCAGCTGTGGATGAGAATATGCATTTAGCAAGGATGCCATACTATTCCTAACAACAAAAATAATCATCAGATCCAGAATTCCACCTGAGCTGAGGAGTGCTGAGGTTAACTGTGAGGTCTAAAATGAGTTTCCCTGTAGATTTTACAATCTGCTCTTCCACTGCTCGCTGCAGCTCGTCCAGGCCTCGCTCCTCCAGGGCAGATATGGGCAGTGCACTGGGCTCTGCAGCCTGATAACTGACAGACACACAGAAAAACAGATCAATAAAACGATGCCCCTCACAGTAATAGATGTGAATGTGGGTTCTCTGGAAGCATTTTAGTGTCTGAGTCAACATAGCTGTGGATTAAGACTTTCTACCATGAAATACTTTTACCTCTCACATGCATGTCAGCAGATGATTACATTTTATTTTCTCCCCCTGAGGATAAACTTCATCTTATTCTCTATAATAAATGTAACTTATACAGTATTGCATGTGCAGCTGTGACAGGATTTTTGCGCTTACTTGTCAATAAGGTCAGTTTTATTGTGGACTTCTATCATGGAGCTCATCAGCCTTTCGGGGATTTGCAGGTTCTTCAGGACATTCAGTACGTTCACCTTCTGATTAACCGTCTCCGGATGACTGATGTCTCTGACGTGAACCAGCAGATCCTGGAAGAAAAGATGAACACTGAGTCAGCAACTCTGCTCCTGAAGTTAGTTTAAAAAATGAGCTGAACACTCCACATTTCATCACTAGATGGAAACATGGGGTACATATCTGAGCTTTCTATACAGCTCATATTATACACATTTACTGGTGTGTCTGTACTTTGATATTGGAATGTAGTAGAATATGTTTACATATAATAATGTTAGAAAACATGTTGGTATAGCTCTCGTTTCTTTGACGCTCTCTTTCCTGAAAAGCTCAGTATGCTGTGATTGGTCGGCTGGCCCAGCGAAAGTGAGGTAATTCTGGTTTCACACTGTAACCCGAGTTAGTACAGTACAGGTAGAGAGACGTAGTTTTCGGAGAAGTGGCTCGAGTGAGGGAATGATGTTGGAATACAAGAAATCTGCTGATTTTTTGTCAAACTAGCCACTAAGCAGATAAATAACAGAAGACAAGTCTTGACATCAAACAAGGCATTTCAGGCATGTAAGGAGCAGTGTATTCTATGAGAGTGAATGATGCCTCTGTATTGGGCGTTGGAAGTTTTCAAATGTTCTACATGCACAAAAAGCAGCAATATAACAATAAAGAAAAAAGGGGAAACCCAAGAAGCACAATAAGGGCTCTTGGAGAACAGAGGATGCTGTATGCCGTTCAGACTGTACACCACACTGATAAAACTTGACTGGGCTACATACAGAGTGTTTAATGTCCTCCAGGGTGGCAGAGAAGGATTCGATGAGCTGGTGGGGCAGCTGGGACAAGAAACCGATGGTGTCCACGTACAGAACTGTCATGCGGTTCGGCAGCTGGCCGGCATGGACGGTGACGTCCAGGGTAGCAAACAGCTGGTTCCTGGGCTGCAGGCCGCTGTCACCAGTCAGAGCTTTGATAAGGGTCGTTTTTCCTGCACAGATGAAGGCAAAAAATAACTTTATGAAATGAAGGACCTCAACTCAGCATTATTAAAACACACTGGTGGCGGTGCGGTGCGTCACTCACCACAGTTAGTGTATCCTAACACAGACACGACAGGGAACTCCTTGTGTTTACGCTGAGATCGCAGCAGGTGCCTCTTTTTCCGAAGTTTTTCCAGCGCTGAGCGAATCTTCATCTCCCGCTCCTTTAATAGCCTCTGCTGGACCTCGTACAGAGTCTCACCTGTAAAGACCAATCAGCAGGAGGGATGTTGGCTCTAGGAGGCTCAATACACAAACAGATGTGTGTCCACTGTGAATCAGGCTGCAGCTAATGACTATTTTCATTGTTGATTAATCTATGGATCATTTTCTCTAGTAATCAACTAGTTGTTTGGTCCATAAAATGGCAGAAAATAGTGAAGAATGTCGATAAGTTTTTCTCAAAGCCAAACTTAGTAAAGAAACCAGAAATTATTCACATTTACAAAGCTGGAGTCGGAGAATTTAAACTTTATTTTTCGAAAAAAATTACTCAAACTGACTCACAAAGTATTTGGTGATTAAATTAATAGTTGACAACTAATTGATTAATGAATTAATCACTGCAGCTCTACTGTAAATGTAAAGTTACCTGAGCCACCAATGTACCTCGACCCTCCACCCTGCTGATCCAAGTTCGCCATTTCATTTTTCAGTCGGGATCTGCAATTGAGGTGTGGTAAAATACAAAAGATAAGGTATATCAGACTAAAACATTTATTTTTCAACCATTTGTAGGTCGCAGTGCATGACTACAGGCAATCATGAGTGTAAACAGTGAATTCTCTGCATTTCGGTGAATCTATCCACCAAGTTGGGCCTTTGCTGGATCAATTTAAAATGGAATTGTACTTATTTATGTCGTGGAAAATTCAAAACATAATGTGACGTATATGAGTGTGAACAAGTTTCCCACAGTAAATTCAGTGGTTATATGTGCTCATAATTCATATTTTTAGAGTAAAAGAACCAGTGCTAAAGAAAACAGACCCTCTCCTGTCTGAGTCATAGTTTCATCTATTAGTAATGACATAGTGCTTTTTAAAAGTCAAAGTCTCCTGGCTTCTTTTGTGTTTTTATTGAGGGAGAGAAATGGAGAGGGAAGTCTTATCCACACCGACCCTGAAATCTCTGCCTATGTAGCCAAGCAACAAAGAAATGTCACAAAATACAAAATTCAGGCATTTACCTTAATAAGGGGATCTCTGCCAGTGAGATCTGTAACTTAGCCTCTTTGGTTTTGGCGTTGCAGCGGAAAATGTGAAGAACAACTGAGTATCTGTCAAAGACTTTCACTCCCCAGGCTTCCTCAAACTCCCTCTGGACAGAATAAAAAATAATAACAAAATAAAGGATCAGTGCATGAAACCTTTTACAAAGCACAGTTAGAAAGCAATCTTTAGAAAAGCTCACCTCAGACAAAGGGGACAGACGCTCAACATTCACAAACACAGCCGTGATTCCTGCTGTTTGCCTGATTTTCTCTGAAGGGTCAAAAGCACAGGTGATTAATGTCTGTGTAGAGTCACAGTCACCCAGATGGTGGTAATCCTGTGATCTTCAACAGAAAGCAACTGAACTTCTTTTTTGTTTTTGAACATGTTTCATCTTGCATCCAAGAGGCTTCCTCTGTTCAAACTGCCTTTTGGGGTGTCACACATATGCTTATAATAGAAAGCTCTTTTGAAACTGAAGGAATCATGGCTAGAAGATGAACCTGGTATCAAAGCGTAGGTAAAAGTCCGACCTTTCATTTTCTATGACCTATTTTGATCAACCACCTATTCCTCATGCCATTATGAGCCTTGAATGTTTACCCAAAATGCACTTTAAGATTTCTCTGGCTATTTATCAGAAAACAGGAAACACATCAAGGGTACTAATGCTTGTTTCTATTACTCAGTGTCTGTTTTGGTACTAAAACTATCATACATCATCCATACATCATGTCAAAGTTGGTTACGGAAAAATATTGTGCTGAACAATAACCTGATTTTGGATTCGAATTGATTGTGATAGATTGTGACAACTGGAGTGGATGCAAACTGGATTTTGTTGCAGTTTTTAATACAGTTCAAATGTTTTTCAGCCCTGAACATTACATGAGGCTATCTCCTCTACTTATGAAGGTATGAAACATCAAAAATGCTGCAAAAAAATACTGCAAATTAAAAAGGGCAAAATTTCAAGCCACCCCTGTGTACTTAAAGGAGAAAACTCATAGCATGAAGGTAAACTTTAGTGGGTTTAACTTACTATTTATCAGGTAGTTATAACAAAGTCCTGAAATCCCTCTCTGGGCAGTTTTGTAATTTTTTGCACATTAAAATATGAGTCTTGGATCATTAACAAGCCATGGTCATGTGATTTAGGGGTGAGAGAAAAAAAAAACAGAGATTGCCTACTCATCCCCAACTGAATTACAAGAACTGTTGAAAACTGCCCTTGNTTTTATTATGTTCTTTTGCAATATTTAAAGTGTTAACTTCAAAATTTTTCATCAGTTTTATGGATACACGGCTTGTAGCCTGCAGGTTAAAACATACCAACGACGGAATGCCGACGGAATAGATTAAACAAATTAATTGAGTGACACTGGGACAGTTTATATTTGTTCATGTAATCAATGCCTAATAGTGCCCATTTTTCTGTTACTCAGTTAATTTGAAAACAACTATGACTTAGTTTTATATTTACAAATATTACTTTATTTCTTTTTTGACCTACTCCTGGTTTCCTGTCATTTTGCAAAAGTAACCCCTGGAAACAGCAGATGCACTTGGAAAGAGGTGAAGCAGGTGGTATTCAGCTTGTTGCAGTCTTACTGATTGATGCCACTAAATCCTACAAACTGGTCCTTTACTGCAAAAACCTCACAAAAGAACCTCTTTTTCACCAAACAGCTTCATTACCAGAAAGTGTTACGTGAATGTGGTTTTGTGGACTTCCCTATTAAGAAATCTTCTCTTAGATGGAATATGTATCAGTGTCACTCTGTGCGTTTCATATCAGTTGCTGTGAAATAATATGTCTGATTGTCATGCCCTGACGTTTAGAGTCTCTTCTCTTCAGGACAAAAGCATCGAGGAGCAGCTGTCGATGGGGATTCGCTACTTTGATCTTCGTGTTGCACATAAACCCAGTGATTCATCCAGTGACCTGTACTTCACACACGTCATATACACACACTTAACAGTTATGGTGAGTTTACGTTAAGTAAAGGCTTCAGTTTGGGCATGCATAGTGCTCATGGTAGATGTCTGTTCTCTACAGGAAACACTTGTGTCTGTTGCCTCCTGGCTGAAGTCTCACCCAAAGGAGGTTGTCATCCTCGCTTGCAGCCATTTGGAGGGAATGGACGACGCACGCCATGAATCGTTCATTTACTCCCTGAAGAACCTGTTTGGCTCCAAACTGTGTCCGCGGAAGGTCAGTGTTCTCCTTGTATGGGTGGTTTGTGGTATAAAAAGGACACGGCGCCTTACAGCACGTAACCGGTCCCCCACAGGAATCGGTCCTGACCTTGAGGAGTCTGTGGGCATCTGGTTACCAGGTCATCCTGTCCTACGACTCCCAGGTTGCAGCGAGACATGAGGAGCTGTGGCTCGCCATCCCTTACTGGTGGGCCAACCAGCAAACGGCACAAGGAGTGATCAGTTACTTGGACTGGAACAAAGAGCTGGGACGTCCCGGTGAGTTTGGCCTGTTGGGGTTCACAGGATTCATGTTACAAATCATAATGTCCAAGTTTTTTTGTTTTTTTTTGCTCCTGTCACATTTTCACTCACAGTCGGATAATTTTTCACTGCAATACTAAGGAAACAGCGTAACCATGGCTAGAAGTAGAGAAAATTCAAAATTGCTATTTGTGCAATTTTGCACAGTTATGTTTTAAATCATTTAAAAAAGAAAAGCTGTATTTTGCAAAAATAGAAAAACCTAGAATGTACAGTTTCTCAAGAGTTTACAATTGTCACCAATACTAAGAAAGAAAGAGTGATTCTACATTATATAGATATTTTACTACGTAGATATTTTAGATCATTATTTTTTGGCCATTTTCCAGCCTTCATTATGGAAGAGTTGTGGAGGCACAGGAAAGGTTAGGAAGGAGAGAGGATGGATGACATGCCACAGGTCCGAGTCAGTTCATGCCCCCTGCAGTGGGGACTTCCAGTCTCAATTCATGTATCACCTGCTCAACCAGGTGAACTATTTGGGCTCCCATTACTTAGATATTTTAAATTGTTTCCATACTTGTGTTCCATCTGCTTTGTGTAAACACTGCTTGCAGTTCATCTGAAAAGTCCCTGTCCTGTTGACTGTTGGTCACAGCTGAGTTGGTCATGGCTTTACGGTTACTTCGATTAGTGCAGAATTCACTTTTGATTTGGTAAATTTTCCTGACATAACCTCATATCACAGAAAAGTAGTTCAAAGACCACTGGAAAGTTGAAAATCTAGTGATTCTTTGTTTTCACAGTTGTAGGCTCTGATAAATGGTGTCACTTCTTTAAAGGCAACATGTCTTTCAAACCTAATGGTGGGTTGTGGGGTTTCTAGGGTTAAAGCATATTAAGTATATTTCCTGGTGTGTTTTCTTCGTCCTCAGAGGGTTTTTTCGTCTCTGGCCTGAACCTGACAGCTGATAGGGGTTACATCGCTAAGAACCGGAAGGAATCCCTGCGGACGTTGACTTACAGCAACTGGGACAGTTTGAGCAAATGGGTGGAGGAGCAGATACCTGGATCGGACCCCAAAAGCCTCAACATCATCGCAGGGGACTTCGTCGGGCCGCTTCCGCTCTGCTCTCAAGTGATCGCACTAAACCACAAACTGCGACGGAAGAATTCCAGCCAGATAAAGAAGCAATATTAGCCACGACTCTAAAAGCCACATTTTACCTCATTTTATGTTTACTCAGCTTCTCTCAATTTATATAAAATTTAATCATCACAGTTTTAACAGAAAAACCTGCAGTTTCTGTATTTCTTACACTTAGTTTATATTTTTTTTAATCTAAATCTATTATGTGCAATCAGTATATGTTTACAAGAAAAAAAAAAACTTAAACTGTTACAAATTTGTATCTTTAGATATTTTATTATGCTGTACAATAATAAATTCTTTTCTTATGGAGTAGTTTGCAGTCCTTGTGTGCTGCTGCTGCAGCTGGAAGGATCCCTCCTGTATTATCTCTCTCCAAACTGTTTCTTGTAGCGTCCATGAGCGGCGGCGCTAATGATGACCCTGACGACAGCCGATCCTTCGTCTGCATTCACCTGCACGTCCTGAACGGTTGCTTCTTTGTAGAGCCAGCTGTGGATGAGAATATGCATTTAGCAAGGATGCCATACTATTCCTAACAACAAAAATAATCATCAGATCCAGAATTCCACCTGAGCTGAGGAGTGCTGAGGTTAACTGTGAGGTCTAAAATGAGTTTCCCTGTAGATTTTACAATCTGCTCTTCCACTGCTCGCTGCAGCTCGTCCAGGCCTCGCTCCTCCAGGGCAGATATGGGCAGTGCACTGGGCTCTGCAGCCTGATAACTGACAGACACACAGAAAAACAGATCAATAAAACGATGCCCCTCACAGTAATAGATGTGAATGTGGGTTCTCTGGAAGCATTTTAGTGTCTGAGTCAACATAGCTGTGGATTAAGACTTTCTACCATGAAATACTTTTACCTCTCACATGCATGTCAGCAGATGATTACATTTTATTTTCTCCCCCTGAGGATAAACTTCATCTTATTCTCTATAATAAATGTAACTTATACAGTATTGCATGTGCAGCTGTGACAGGATTTTTGCGCTTACTTGTCAATAAGGTCAGTTTTATTGTGGACTTCTATCATGGAGCTCATCAGCCTTTCGGGGATTTGCAGGTTCTTCAGGACATTCAGTACGTTCACCTTCTGATTAACCGTCTCCGGATGACTGATGTCTCTGACGTGAACCAGCAGATCCTGGAAGAAAAGATGAACACTGAGTCAGCAACTCTGCTCCTGAAGTTAGTTTAAAAAATGAGCTGAACACTCCACATTTCATCACTAGATGGAAACATGGGGTACATATCTGAGCTTTCTATACAGCTCATATTATACACATTTACTGGTGTGTCTGTACTTTGATATTGGAATGTAGTAGAATATGTTTACATATAATAATGTTAGAAAACATGTTGGTATAGCTCTCGTTTCTTTGACGCTCTCTTTCCTGAAAAGCTCAGTATGCTGTGATTGGTCGGCTGGCCCAGCGAAAGTGAGGTAATTCTGGTTTCACACTGTAACCCGAGTTAGTACAGTACAGGTAGAGAGACGTAGTTTTCGGAGAAGTGGCTCGAGTGAGGGAATGATGTTGGAATACAAGAAATCTGCTGATTTTTTGTCAAACTAGCCACTAAGCAGATAAATAACAGAAGACAAGTCTTGACATCAAACAAGGCATTTCAGGCATGTAAGGAGCAGTGTATTCTATGAGAGTGAATGATGCCTCTGTATTGGGCGTTGGAAGTTTTCAAATGTTCTACATGCACAAAAAGCAGCAATATAACAATAAAGAAAAAAGGGGAAACCCAAGAAGCACAATAAGGGCTCTTGGAGAACAGAGGATGCTGTATGCCGTTCAGACTGTACACCACACTGATAAAACTTGACTGGGCTACATACAGAGTGTTTAATGTCCTCCAGGGTGGCAGAGAAGGATTCGATGAGCTGGTGGGGCAGCTGGGACAAGAAACCGATGGTGTCCACGTACAGAACTGTCATGCGGTTCGGCAGCTGGCCGGCATGGACGGTGACGTCCAGGGTAGCAAACAGCTGGTTCCTGGGCTGCAGGCCGCTGTCACCAGTCAGAGCTTTGATAAGGGTCGTTTTTCCTGCACAGATGAAGGCAAAAAATAACTTTATGAAATGAAGGACCTCAACTCAGCATTATTAAAACACACTGGTGGCGGTGCGGTGCGTCACTCACCACAGTTAGTGTATCCTAACACAGACACGACAGGGAACTCCTTGTGTTTACGCTGAGATCGCAGCAGGTGCCTCTTTTTCCGAAGTTTTTCCAGCGCTGAGCGAATCTTCATCTCCCGCTCCTTTAATAGCCTCTGCTGGACCTCGTACAGAGTCTCACCTGTAAAGACCAATCAGCAGGAGGGATGTTGGCTCTAGGAGGCTCAATACACAAACAGATGTGTGTCCACTGTGAATCAGGCTGCAGCTAATGACTATTTTCATTGTTGATTAATCTATGGATCATTTTCTCTAGTAATCAACTAGTTGTTTGGTCCATAAAATGGCAGAAAATAGTGAAGAATGTCGATAAGTTTTTCTCAAAGCCAAACTTAGTAAAGAAACCAGAAATTATTCACATTTACAAAGCTGGAGTCGGAGAATTTAAACTTTATTTTTCGAAAAAAATTACTCAAACTGACTCACAAAGTATTTGGTGATTAAATTAATAGTTGACAACTAATTGATTAATGAATTAATCACTGCAGCTCTACTGTAAATGTAAAGTTACCTGAGCCACCAATGTACCTCGACCCTCCACCCTGCTGATCCAAGTTCGCCATTTCATTTTTCAGTCGGGATCTGCAATTGAGGTGTGGTAAAATACAAAAGATAAGGTATATCAGACTAAAACATTTATTTTTCAACCATTTGTAGGTCGCAGTGCATGACTACAGGCAATCATGAGTGTAAACAGTGAATTCTCTGCATTTCGGTGAATCTATCCACCAAGTTGGGCCTTTGTTGGATCAATTTAAAATGAAATAGTACTTATTTATGTTGTGGAAAATTCAAAACATAATGTGACGTATATGAGTGTGAACAAGTTTCCCACAGTAAATTCAGTGGTTATATGTGCTCATAATTCATATTTTTAGAGTAAAAGAACCAGTGCTAAAGAAAACAGACCCTCTCCTGTCTGAGTCATAGTGTCATCTATTAGTAATGACATAGTGCTTTTTAAAAGTCAAAGTCTCCTGGCTTCTTTTGTGTTTTTATTGAGGGAGAGAAATGGAGAGGGAAGTCTTATCCACATTGACCCTGAAATCTCTGCCTATGTAGCCAAGCAACAAAGAAATGTCACAAAATACAAAATTCAGGCATTTACCTTAATAAGGGGATCTCTGCCAGTGAGATCTGTAACTTAGCCTCTTTGGTTTTGGCGTTGCAGCGGAAAATGTGAAGAACAACTGAGTATCTGTCAAAGACTTTCACTCCCCAGGCTTCCTCAAACTCCCTCTGGACAGAATAAAAAATAATAACAAAATAAAGGATCAGTGCATGAAACCTTTTACAAAGCACAGTTAGAAAGCAATCTTTAGAAAAGCTCACCTCAGACAAAGGGGACAGACGCTCAACATTCACAAACACAGCCGTGATTCCTGCTGTTTGCCTGATTTTCTCTGAAGGGTCAAAAGCACAGGTGATTAATGTCTGTGTAGAGTCACAGTCACCCAGATGGTGGTAATCCTGTGATCTTCAACAGAAAGCAACTGAACTTCTTTTTTGTTTTTGAACATGTTTCATCTTGCATCCAAGAGGCTTCCTCTGTTCAAACTGCCTTTTGGGGTGTCACACATATGCTTATAATAGAAAGCTCTTTTGAAACTGAAGGAATCATGGCTAGAAGATGAACCTGGTATCAAAGTGTAGGTAAAAGTCCGACCTTTCATTTTCTATGACCTATTTTGATCAACCACCTATTCCTCATGCCATTATGAGCCTTGAATGTTTACCCAAAATGCACTTTAAGATTTCTCTGGCTATTTATCAGAAAACAGGAAACACATCAAGGGTACTAATGCTTGTTTCTATTACTCAGTGTCTGTTTTGGTACTAAAACTATCATACATCATCCATACATCATGTCAAAGTTGGTTACGGAAAAATATTGTGCTGAACAATAACCTGATTTTGGATTTGAATTGATTGTGATAGATTGTGACAACTGGAGTGGATGCAAACTGGATTTTGTTGCAGTTTTTAATACAGTTCAAATGTTTTTCAGCCCTGAACATTACATGAGGCCATCTCCTCTACTTATGACGGTATGAAACATCAAAAATGCTGCAAAAAAATACTGCAAATTAAAAAGGGCAAAATTTCAAGCCACCCCTGTGTACTTAAAGGAGAAAACTCATAGCATGAAGGTAAACTTTAGTGGGTTTAACTTACTATTTATCAGGTAGTTATAACAAAGTCCTGAAATCCCTCTCTGGGCAGTTTTGTAATTTTTTGCACATTAAAATATGAGTCTTGGATCATTAACAAGCCATGGTCATGTGATTTAGGGGTGAGAGAAAAAAAAAACAGAGATTGCCTACTCATCCCCAACTGAATTACAAGAACTGTTGAAAACTGCCCTTGTTGATACCAGCTTTTCTTAAAAGATGAGCTCTGGATGGAGGTCATTAAGCATTACATAAGTCTTTGTCATGGTGCCCCTTTACGCTAAACTCCCACAATGGGGGATAAGAAGTGCTTTTGTTCTTCATCTTCAAGAGCCAAAAAAAAAGTTCAGTCACCTTCTACTGAAGCTCTTAAGAGGGATGATTAATATAAATTGATTAAAAGTACAGATCTATAGGTGGATACTGGGATTGGGGGTTACCTGTCAGAGACTGGAAGTTGCCTTTGCCAAATATCCTCTTCTTGTCTGGTGTCTTGGTGGAGAGGATGACTTTATCCACCACTGTCCAGTTGTCTAAGGTGTTCACGAGCCCCACAGCCTCAGCCATCATCAGCTCAGCTGCACATGTAACAGATCAAAATGTTGTATCTGTGCTTTGACACAGTCATCACTCTAACCTAAGCATGCTTGTCTTGTTACCAGTGGTGAGATACTGTTTCTTGCTTCCCCACTTCACATCAGGGTGGACGATGAACAGTCTCTGCTGTCCCTTTCCTATGGTTGCAGGAATCTGCTGCTGGAACAGCTCCTCTACCTCACTGTCCTCCAGGAAATCTTCATCATCATCCTCCTCCTCCTCTGTGTATCCAGTGCTGCTGCTGCTGCTGCTGGTGCGGTCGTCTGTCCTCTTCAGTCTGCAGACAGAAAGCCCAAATGCTCTGGACTGCTGGGTGGAAGAAGCTCTGTTTAGATGCTGTTGGAAAGTGTTGAGTGCAGCTGCATGGTGTTGACGTGTGTGCAGGAGTCTGCAAGGCGCCGCTGCTCTCTGATAGCTGTATGTGCAGGGTCGCTGCAGGAGAGGCAGCCAAGAACGAATCCTCCGTAATGTTGTCATGTTGCCTCAGCAAGCTCTCTGCTTAGTTCATTGACACTGCAGTAAGATCGCACAGTCACTTGCTGTTATAGCACTAAAGCTACAAGTGACTGAGCCACTGCAGGTCACACATGAGCACTGTTGACGTCCATCCGCTTCTTCAGGCTCCTTGAAGGGTAACAAGACAGACCGGAGAGCTCACACCGCCACCTACTGTAGCCGCCAGTGTTTCTTTTTCGCTGTTTAAATTCCACTCAGTAAATGAATGAAAAACTAGGTTTTGCTTAGAAAAACACAGCATGGTATGTTTCAGATTGCCCATGCGCGGTGGTGTTTTGAGTCTGGGCGATTTATTGTCACTTTTATCCTCAGTAAAAATCTTGCAGGCAACGTTTCTTAAACTGAATTGCAATTTAATCGAAACAAATGTTTTTAGCTACACACAGTTACATTTATGGAATATAGCGACCACTGGAAAATCTATTTGTCACATAAAAACAAGTATAGTCGATATTTTTGTGTAGACCGATAGGAAGTCGATTCCTGCTAGTCAAAACTCAGGGCTGCAATTTTAGTAGATTTGGTATCGCTTCCTGTTATGTCATTTCCTTTGTAATATTGTTTTTTATTTTTGAAAAAATAGAAAGTCGTACATTTAAAAAAAAAAACACCAAACATAGATCTTAATTTTCAATAAAACACAACAATAATGTAAAAACACGTATTTATAGACCCAGAAATAAACGGTTTCAGTATCGGTCTCATGATTGACTCCGCCCCCTAGTGGACTAAACGGTTGCTAAGACACTGCAGCTAGCTTAGCTATTATTTTAGCTAGTTATGCTTTAGCAGTCCTATTCATTTAGTATTTTTGGAGTAAACTGTTCATTTTGACTTTATTTCGGCTTTAATAAATGTTTAATCTTGTCTCCTAGCATAGACAGACAAATATTCGTAGCCAGTTAATACTGGTGCTCTTCAGCAGCACAAAAATGTGTCTGAATATTACATTGCTTTAAATGAATTATTATTATTGTCATTATGACTCATAAACTAAAAGATACTTTAACTTTCTGAAGGTTCAGACGAGCATATGAGAAAATAACTAAAAAATGACTGCCTTAAACACTAATGCAAAACAGGACGTAAGGAAATGTAGCAAAGACAGATAAATGAAATAAAGTAAAATAAATAAATCATTTTTTATAAGCTAAATGTTTTTAAAATATTTTTTTAAAGTGTGAAAATGGGATTTGTTTATTTATTTATTTATTTTTACTTTTACCATTAATGCACTATTACCGCAGGAGTTACTGTACCTGTCTTTAGAATACAACGAGGATGATTACTAAAATATGCATTTACATCTTTTATGAAAACATAGCCAAAACACTTTCCATACTGAAATGTTAATATTTTCTAGAATCAATATGAAACATCTGATCAACAACAACAAAAATACAGAAGTATGTGTATATATATATTATTTTTTTTATTTTTTATTTTTTTTTAGGAAAACTATACCAATTTCAAAGTGTCCCACAGATGTGTGTGTGTGTGTGTGTGTTTTGTTTTGTTGCTGTTTTTTTATGTTTGCATCGCTGTCACATAGCATCACGCCTCCTGCATCACAATGGGTGTGTGTGACCTGAAAAGAAGTCAGACAGGTCGAACCAATTTCCGTACAGTGACACCTAACCGGATATTTTCTGATTGATACGGACGAACCTCGTGTTCTTACGCTTATTCTTCGTGTGAATCTACTTATTTTAAAAAATACGCAGCGGTATTTTTCTTCATTAAAATCAGACTAGAACAGGAGAGAGAGGGCAGGTATGGCACAACAAGCCGCAACATGACTGGTGATGAACTCCTTCAGAGTAAGGAAACGTGTGCGTAAGACCTGGAACGAGCGGAGGACGAGGGACTGAAGTGAGACGGTTATATGGTTTACAGAGTCATGGGCGGGTTTTGGTTGAATAATTTCACGAGTAAAGTGTATTTGAATGGTTTTTCGGCGTTTTGTGCGCAAATGTGCCCTCAGCGGGGGATGCCGGTGGCTCTGTGGCGCACAGGACTCCTGCTCAGCTTCCTGTGTGTGTGCGTCCGTCTGGGTAAGAGGACTGTCTGGTCATGTAGATCACATACTGAGGTGAGTAGTCACAACACTGACTGACTGATTGTGTTTCTCTCGTTTGTACAGAGGAAGATTGTGTTCTTGGCGTAGTGGGACGCCCGGTGTTTCTGCCCTGCTTTTACCCTGACTTACTAACTTTAGCAAATTATTCCATTGAGTGGAGGAGAGAGGATGAAGTGGTGCTCAGATCAGTGTGGGAAGAGGATGGAAACATTCAGATATGGAGCATGAACAGAGCCACGGTTCATACTGATGCTACACAAACTGGAAACTTCTCTCTGGAGCTGCCAGCAGCTGATCCCACACAGGACAACGTGTCTTACAGTTTCTTCATTATTTCAGGGGAGAACCAAAGGTTGCTGGTGTGCAAAGTGTGCCTCAGGATAGCAGGTCAGTGCCAAACACAAGGGATAGATAGATAGATAGATAGATAGATAGATAGATAGATAGATAGATAGATAGATAGATCATCCCCTTGGAGAAATTGCATGAAAGAAATAGAAGGTGCAAACTGTGCTTGTAGAAGAACAAAGTTAAGGTACAAGAAAAAACAGATGTTGCTTGTAGAATAAGTATCAATAAGTATAAATACAGCATAACAATATACATTTTTAAAATAAGCATGCAGAAGGAGGAACTCTTGTCTTTGTTGGTTGTTTGCAGCCAGTTTCAGCTTCCCAGTGCTGCAGAGGGAAGAAGCAGTGGAGGGCGAGGAGACATCCTTCCACTGTCGCTCCAGCGGCGGTTACCCTCAGCCTGCAGTCTACTGGCTCATCAACGACACCGAGGAGCCCCCCGAAGGCTCGGTGAGGACCCTGGCAGCATCGCTCCCCGATTCCCACCTCTTTAACATCACCAGCCATCTGACGGTCAACGTTTCCAGAGACTCCAGCGTGACGTGCGTCATAGAGAACCAGTCCATGAACGAGACCCTGACGTCCACCAGCTGTGAGTCGTTTCCTTTTGCTGTTCACTCACCTGAACACGCCAACAGGTCACTAATCTCTGGTTCTCGTTCAGACGGAGTGCCCAGCGGCCCCGTGGCGAGCCGAGCGTCAGAGGCCATGTGGATCTTCAGCACAGCTCTGTGTGCGGTGGTGGGGGTGTTGGTGATCGTAGGGGTGTGGTACCAGATCCACCTGGACAGGATTAGTAAGAGGAAGAAGAAGGAATACCAAGAAACACAGAGAGGTAGGCAGATCACGCTCACCAGAGCGGTGAGGCAGTTTGTCTCTATACAGATGTAAAGGGAGGATGCTTTAAAAAATAGCATAATTAGTTTGTATCTGTCAGTTAGTTTCATAAAAGTCCAGTCTGTTGCCTAAAGTTTTCCTGGAAAAGATGTTATTTTAAAGGATTTTCAGAGGGCAACACTCCCTCGAAGAGTTTAAAATCTTACGTTGTCATGTTAACACAAACCCAACATTTCTTGTCCTGGAAGTGCAATTATTAGATATCTAAAATGTGTCTCCACCTTGTGTGCATTTCAGTGTGTTTTAACCTAAGGGCTGAAAACCTGCATTTGACAAAAGTCACATCAAACTGCCACCTAGTGTGATTTTACACTAAGAACAAATCCTACACTTTCATTAGTTGTTTAGTCAACAAAATGTTTCAAAAAAAATAAAAATAAAATCCGTGTTTGCCAAAGTACAAGATGGCGTCTTTAAATATGTTATTTTGTCCAAAGTCCAAAGATATTCAGTTTAGTGACATAAAGGAGAAAAGAAATTAGATAATATTTACATTTAAGAGGCTGGAATAGAGAATATTGATCATTTCTCTCAAAACAATTACTCAGATTGATTAATCGATTATCAAAATAGTTGACAACTACTCGATTCATTGTTGCCTGTGTGAAAGCACAGCAGGGTAACATGCAAAAATGGAAAATTTGCAAACAAGTTTTTGTGAAGAATAATGTTTCCTATAGAAAAAAAATGATAAAGTAATATTTACTTTGTTTAAAATGAAGCTGCTGCCTGTCTTCTTTTTTATTGCAACCAAATTATTTTCCTATTTTATTATTAGTTTTGTTTAGGGATGCATGCTGAGATCAGCACATCACTGGTATGGCAGATAGCAACAGGCAGATAGTGTCAGTTTAAATTTCCATTTCAGTTTGAAAATGTTCTGTGAAAATGAATGACAATTTTTTTGTATGTTGAAGTAGTTTCCTTATTTTGTCCCGTGAATGTGTGAATTTGAAAAATGAAGCTATTTATATCTGCACCTTCAATAAAGATAAAAGTTGACATAGTAATAACTTAACTCTGCTACAGGAGAGACTTGATGTTCCCTGCAACTAGATGAAAAAACCATGTGCATTTATCTGTACCAGCATCGGCCAAAATAAGTTGGAAAATATCTGCAAAAATTGAGCATCATTCATCATGAGTTGTTTTTCTTTTCTAGAAAACATGCCAAGGCCTTAGATAAAATAAGACATCATCAAAAATAAGATATCTGATGTCAAATTTCCTCCCAAATAGGACCTTAATTAGGTTAATGTTCTGGTTAAAGAGGTCTGAGGTGCAACCAGTTAATTAGAGCAATGAATCCTAAATAGTTTCATTACAAAGTGGTTGTTAATTCACTTCTGGTTTAAACTGAACAAACTCTGGTGGAGAAAATATCATTCACTCAGCACTTGTATTCCTTTTTGCAGAGGTCGAGCATGTCCTTAAATCCATATAAACTCTAATTGTTGTCATATGAGTCCATTCAAGAAGAGCTCATAGCCTTTATAGGGAGAGTGTTTCAAAATTTAAAGTGCTTTTCTGAAAATTTGTTGCCATCAGGATACAAAAGACGACGTCGGTACAAAGAGGAAGCCGAGGCGATGACGCCGGAGCCAAAGGAGACGAATGTGTGAAATCCTGAATCTATCAATGATCACCTTTTATTTTTCTGCCGAGAGGCAACAAAGCACTGATATGTAAATATGTATTTGTTGTGATCACCACTTAAATATTCAGTCAGGCGGGTTTTTTAAACAGAAGTTCACTTTTGGGGCATCATTTTGTGTTAAATGTTTACTTTTTTTCCTCCTCTGATAGCGTTGTTGTATTTCATGATTTTAATAAAGATTCTCAGATTGACTGACTGGAGCTTTTTTTTTTAATTTATTTTTTAATTCCACCTCACAGATCTGTTAATGATGTAACAGTAGACAAGTGAGCTTTTTTTTAAAAATGTAAATCTCTGAAGCAACAATTAACAAAATCTTACATCAAAAAAAATGAATGAAAAGACAAAATAACTGAAAGTCTTAACAGTTAAGAATTCCAGTAATAATAGTTGTCTGCATTAAAAATGACATTACAGGGGCACTTAGATTTTCATCATTTTTTTTTGTATATTAAGCACTGTGTCAAAAAAGTGGAAACACTTTAAAGAGGTACATTTTCACATTTTTCTGGAACCTGAAATGATGAAAGATTTCATTGCTCACCAAAACTCATCAGTTTACTAGTGATCAACAAGGTGTTTTATTGCTTCACATAGAAACAGTTTCTTAATGCAGCTTCACTGCACTCAATCGCGCTGTCTGACGATTGTCCAAACTGCATCATGTTTCCGCAACTACGAGTCTCGATGTTCTGCAGCAGACATCCATCGCATTGTTTGTGTCGTATCTGTGCATGTCCAGGTCCTGTTCTGTCCGTGGGCAACTGAGATTATAATGCTGCTAATTTTATACATGTCATGATTTTTTTTTGGTTCTTTGAAGCTGATGAATGAATCTGGAGGCCTTCAACAGTCAGCTGGATAGCCAGATATAAATGGTTCACATTCTTAGAGATTCAATGAAAGACTGTTAATTATAGATGAGAAAATACAGGTCATTCAGAAATCATTATGATCTGTTGACGCAATTATTACTCATACATGATAAAATATAAAACGAAAAGGCCAAAAAGACATTTCTAAAGACTCTGACAAATGAGGCCTGGACATATGGTATCTAATGGTCTTTAGGAGGATCTGCTGGCAGAAATGGAATATATTATTCAGAATTGGGTTTTCATTATTGTATAATCACCTAGAAGAAGGAATCACTGTGTTTTCATTAAACCAGAATGAGCCCTTGGTGTCTGCAGAGGGAGCAGGGAGTCCTCCATCTCTCTACAGAAGCCCAGAACTGACAAACAAAACACTAAGTTTAGAGCCAGACTTTAGTGGCCAGTGAATATTCTCCTGCATGCTTGGATGAGGGAGGGTGAGGCAAGGGGTTGTTCAGTTGGCTGGAGTTTTTGATGTTGCTTACACTACATTGCATTACATTGTTAAAGGTACCATGTGGAAGAACATGGAGCACAAGCTGTGTAATAAACTACGTGGTCAGCCTTCACTTTACATGCATCTAAGAGCATTGAGTGTCCGTGATCTTGTGCCCAGGTCACTGGTTGTTCTTCCTTGGACCACTTTTGGTGCTGAACACTGCTTACCAGCAACAGCCCAAAAGACCTGCTGCTTTAGAGACACTCTGACTCAGTTTTCAGAGTTTTTCAAAGTCATGAAAATATGAAAACAATCCCTCCCTGCCTTTAACTGACTTAAATGTAACTACACCTTTGCATCATCTAGAAGGTGAAGATCCCATCTCTCTGCCACTCACTGCAGCTCAGCACACCAGCTCACCGACAACTCTGCTCAAAAAACTTTTGAACTACTCTACAAAATGACAAGTTTTAATATGGGAGTAATTCAGGGATACATGTTGGAACTGGAAACCAATAATGAAGAAGAATAAGGCATGTTTTTGAGACTGTCATCAGTAGACTGCAGGTTAAAAGTGGAAATGTTCAGCCATGTTGTCAACTGCACATTTCCATCATGATGTCTTTAAGTATATAAAATAATACCATATGGACATGTTAACAAGGTAAAAAACTTAGGGGGTTTTAATGGTGGTTTTCTGAATCTTACACCTTTAAAATTAGATTCATCATTTCGAAACTGAAACTGAACAATAAACTGCAGAACTTACTTTACTGAAAATTGTGCAGCACAACGTTGAAAAATGCAGAAATGAGACTAATCTGCATCAGTTTACTTCCTGAGTGTGTGCTGGGAGAGTCGGACCTACTTCATGTAAGCGCAATCACAGGATCTGCACTTAGTTAGTCGTATGAATGAAGTACACAACAACTTCATCCAATCAATCCTTGAACGTCTTCAAAGAACCAAATTATCTGGACGAAAATTAACGTATATTTTAGCCAGAATCATTTCAGCCTCAGTTGGAGAACAGGACTCAGGTCACAGCGTTCAGCCTGATCCTTCTTGCGTTGATGTCACAGCGTAGAGATCGTCTCGCCGCTGAGCTGTGATTGGGATCTGCTGCCGGATGTCGGATAAATACTGCAGGTCTGGAGATGAGAGACGCACACAGAGAGGTTCAGTGCAGAATCAGAATATAAAGAAAGCTAACACAATAAAAGCGGAGGACGATGAAGGTGTCCTGCATTCATTACACATGTAAAACAGACTGACAGATGATTCTATTAGGTCTGTTATTTGTGCTGTTGTCGCACTGTAATGCTGCAGAGGAAGCAGTAGACAGACTATAACCACAGTGTCACTAATTCCACTGATAAACAATAGTAAATTATTTCGTCTCATCTTAAAGTCAAACTCCTGTACAGTGGAGAGTTGCATCATTCCACCTATATTTATCTCAATTTGATCAAATGTGTCTCAGATACCACACAAGACACGAACAAAAAGATGATGTGAATCGGCACAACTACAGCATCAGTGCCTTGTTGTGAAGAAGATAAAAGTTTAATCTGACAGGAGTCGACCTGCATTTCAAACTGTACTCATCAACACAGTCTGCAGAGAGAAGCAAACTGCTCTTTCACTCACCGATGTCGGCGTAAATAATGGCTTCCTCTGGTCCTGCCTTGGAGATGACTTCTCCCCTGGAACAACAGAGTGCAACAATCACGAATCTGCAGAGTCCAACACCTGAAATATCAGCAGTAGATGCAGCCGGACAACTAAAGTCGTGTGACAATGATATCAAGTCTCACCACTGCTTGTCAGGAGTGTAAAATGTCACTAAAGCTCTTTTCTCACGGGATTAGTGTTACCTAGAGATCTCGGGTGATTTACAAATTTCCCATGTCTGTGTTTCATGTGTTGTATTCACACAGGACAAGCAAAGTCTGTATTTCACTCAAATTCACTGCATTTATCCGCAGATATGGTATTACAAGGTGCCACGTAATGATTGTTGAGACCGCAAAATGTTCCTGACCACGTTCCCATGCATTTAAACATCCTTCTTTTGCTCTTCTGACGAATTTGAGCTTTCTGTAAATTGGCCTTCATGTTTTGTAGTGACATGATTTTCCCGTATTTGAACCCAAAATGCTCCAAATTTTTATTTCTAGTTGTTTTTAGTCATTATATCTTTACTTTAGACTTACATTTCAGAGAACTTATAAAACCATCTTTTTATAGTAAAGTCTTTCACTTTGCAGATATTTCACAAAAAGTATATAAACATTTATTAAATATCATACAGTATATTGTTAAATATAGTTGTTTGGAAAAAAACTGGCCTCCACTTAGCAATTTACGAATTTAGTTGATTTTGAAACGAAAAGATGTCAATATGACTGCTGCAGCACACACAGATGAAAATGAGGTTTTTCTCAAATGTAAATGCAGCAGTACAGTTTACTTCATGGCCATAACAATACACTAAAATTAAACACTAATGGCGACATGTGCAGAAGTTTGGGTTTGGGTCTAACTGCTTGTAAACACCCTGATCCTGTGAGGAGCTGAAATTTAGAATTGCCAGCTGATGACATTTTCAGATCTGACTCTTCAAACCTCGTGGTGACACTGAACAACCATGAGCTCCTTGAAGCAACTGACGGAGGATGTAAATACGAAGTAAATTGATGCCTCCGGCACAGGGGGAAGATAATCAAAGCAATTTTCACAGTTTGAAATGTCATTAAGAAAAAGCCATTTAAGCGGAGCTGTGGACGTCAAGATCTGGAAGAGCAAGAAACGCTTCAGGTTTAACTGCAGGAAGGTTTAGGTGACGGCAGAGGTGGAGCTGCTCCACTTCATTTCTTTTTCATGAAAGATAATTGTTAAACGTGGGGATGGAAACGTTGTGCTTTGGGATTGTGTGGCAGCCAGTAGCACAAGAAACATGGCATAGATAGAGGGAAGAATGAATCCCACTTAATATCAGCAAACTCAGGATGCAACTTGCTGAGAAACTGAAACTGAGGAGAGCCTGGCTTCACGATTACTACTCCTACAACACAAACTGGAGCTTTTGGAGCAAACCCCACTTAAATCTGTCAGGAAATCTGAAATATGCTGCGTGCGTTAGACAACCTAAAAATAGCCCAGAACTTGACATGAACTGCAGGAAGAGTTTCTGAAAATAAACAGGAACAGAAAAACTCAGCTGGTTACAGAAAGCATTTGCCAGCTGTGACATCTGCCAAGGAGGGGCTACAACATGCTGACTTCATGTGATATGCAAACTTTTGTTTAAAATGCCAAAGTTACTGTTTGACTTTGTTCATGAAAAAGAAAGTAAGAGTGCATTCACGTCTGGAGACCAGTTCTTTTTTTGTATTTACTGCAGGAGTTGTATTAACTTTTTTCACTTTTAAAAATCTACAAAAAATGGGGCGCCGCTATAGCTCATCGGGTTGAGCTGGCGTCCCATGTACACTCCACTTTCCTGTCTCTCTCTCACTGCACTGTCGCACAAAGGCCAAAAAAATAACTTTATAAAAAATGCAAAAAACCAAAAAACTGTCTTTATTAAAGCTCAGGGCTGAACAAAGTTTACCAAATAACTGTACTAACCAACTGAATATAGAGCAGCTCAGCAGTAAAATGTTACTTACAAGTTGATCTGTAATAACAATCAAATGATAAAACACACTGATCAGCCACAACATTAAAACCACCTGCCTTGCAGGATTCCTTTGATTTTTCAGACCTCTAAAGGTGTTCTGTGGTACTAGGCACTGAGACATTAGCAGCAGATCCTTTAAGTCGTGGAAGCAGCAGTGCAAGGCAGTACAAGCCAACGTCCCATGAATGCAGGACTTCAAGGTTTCCCTGTTTCCTCCTCTCCAGGTAGACGATGTAACAAGTCATCCACATAATGTAAAACTGAACATGATTCATCGGACCAGGCCACCTTCTTCGGTCACTCCATAGTCCAGTTCTGATGCTCACCTGCCCTTGTAGGCATCTTTGCTGGTGTGTTCTGACACTTTTCCTTTATAGTACCATCAAGGTTTTCAGCTGTTCTGAACGATCAAACTTCGTGGCCAGTCTTCACTCCTTGCATGCATCAATGAATGTTGGGTGTCTGTGATCTTGTGCCCAGTTCATTGGTTGTTCTTCTTTGGACCACTTTTGGTGCTGAACACTGCTTACCAGGAACAGCACACAAGACCTACTGTTTCAGAGATGCACTGACTCAGTTTTCATAATTTTTCAAAGTCACTCAGATACTCATGCTGCTGAATTTCCCCTGTCTCCAACACATCCATCAAGCTGTGTTTCCAACTTGTATACTTTTTCTCTTTACTTTAAGTACGTACTGCAGTTGCCCTCACAAAATATGTACTGTTTTTATGTGTGAACTGGGACAAACTACTTGTAATATTATAATATTGCACCATAAACTTTGACCATTGCAGCCTGTATTATGAAACAAACTGTCATCTGTCTGTGCATGCTCATTGGGTTGAGCTTTATTATACTTGCGCAAGATACTGAATCATATGTAACATAACTGCAAAGCAGATTGTGGGTTTGAATGGCCAGAAAAACACACTATGGCTTCCAAACTGCAAAATCCAACAGGATGCAGTAGAACATTCTGGTATTTTTAGCATACTGCATCTGAAGTTAGGACATTCTAAATATGTCCTAGCACATACATACTTTTTTGCACACTATATAGTATGTTAGTATGAATACTGGGACACACCCTGAGTGTTCACTTGCTGCTTCATATATCCCTCTCTTTGACAGGAGCCATTGTAATAAGATAATCAGTGGTTTTAACTTAATCCGTCAGTGATTTTAATGTTGTGGCTGATTAGTGTACACCCCTACATTACTCTCACAGGGTACAAAGCAAATACTGCAAAGTTTGACAGTTTTAATATCTTACTGATGCTCTATCAGAATCAGAATTCAGAATTTAGACTTAACAGAATATTTTTATCTTGAGAAATATTTCAGTAATGCTGCTTTTACTGACATAGTTCTTTGAAACTCCTGCAGCCTCGTCACACCCTTCCTGTGTTTCTGCTCTTTGTTGCTTATGTACAGAAAGTCACATGCACCCCTCTGATATTAATGTTCTTGTTTTCTTACCATGGGTTTACTACAGTGCTGTGACCCCAGGCCACGTAGGAGGCTGTTTCATCTCTAGCAGGTGATGCTGTGGCCACATACACTTGGTTGTCAAGCGCCCTGCAAAAGACAAAAGATGATGTTGAATTAAACAGCAGTAATGTGTAGCTTGAGAATGTGTTTGTTTTTTTTACAGTTTGTAAAAACTCAAAAAAATACACTGACTAATACTAACCACATCATTTCCATAGACACAGTTCCAATGAGTGAATCAGCATTGTTCTAGTTCCACTCTACATATCTGAGCTTTTAACTTCACAGTCTGCACAACAACCCCTAAGATCTGTGAATCAGTTACTGTTGAAAGTTTCACAGTCCAGGCTTAAAAAATTAAATAAATCACTGTGCTTTTATTGTTTGAGCCCCAACACTGAGGAACAAACTTCCCCTTAATGTCAGAACGCCTCAGTCAGTTCAAAAAAGCTTTTAAAAACCCACCTGCACAGACTTTAAAAAACCCTTTTATTTCTTCTCTGATGCTGTTATCGTTCTTTTAAAGGTTACACTGTCTTTACTAATGTTTTATTGTCTTTTTTTTAACATTCTATTGCTGTTTTCTAATGTATACTGTAATGTTTTTAAAGCACCTTGTTAACTCCAGTTTTGAAATTTACTATAGAAATAAAGTTTTTTATTATTATTACTACTACTTCTGCATCACTTTTCTTCAAGTTTTGACAAAATACTAACAGGAGCTAAAGTTTAGTCTGTTGCTTCCAGCTGTTTGTAGGAGTCTTTCCTTTGAGTTTACTAAAGACCTGCCGCCTCATATTCATATGTGCAGTGTGGAACAACAGCAGTCGCTTCATTAAATATTTATAGTTATAAATTATTCCCAACATGAAGGCAGGATGAATCAGGATCTAACAGCAGGCCACACTGAGTACTTCTCCTCACAGAGTCACAGTTTACAAGCTGCACTTAAATTATTTGTTACACAGCGGCAGGTTCAGTCTTGAGCTCCATCACAGCCGTTTGGATATTTTTATTTCACTGTTGGTAAAGTAGCAGCTAGATTATAAATCAGCAATGTTATGTATTCACTGTCAGAAAGGAGCCTAATACATTTAATGTATTTAAAATAAATTCTAGAAAGATGTTTGGGACTCATTGACTGTGAGTCTCAGTCTGACCTCCCCCTCTGCAGGAGCTCCCAGTGGGCCGGACCAGTCGTCATGTTGAAGGCTCCAGGGTAAACCAGCAGCTGACAGCCTGCGGACAGAAGAACAAATCCAGTCAGATCTCCTATAACCTGCCAACTACAGTACAGCTGAAGCCATCTGATTCATTTTCAGCTGCTCACCTTTCCTGCTGTAGAGCTGTGCGAGCTCCGCAAACCTCATGTCATAGCAAATACCAACACCAACTTTGCAAAACGCTGCAGGAGAAAGACATCAGGTCAACATGAAGCTCGTCCAGAGCTGCAGGGAACAACAAAGGAGTTATGAGCTTCCACTCACGTGTTTCAAACATTGACAAAGTGTTGCCCGGGCTCAGTGTCTCAGATTCCTGGAAGCGGATTTTTCCCGGAACGTCGATGTCAAATAGGTGAATCTTGGAGGAGAAACATGAGTCAGTTTAGAGGAACCTGATTTCTCCAGATAAACTCATACTGTGAGTGATGCACACGCACTTTTCTGTGTTTAAGAATCATTTCTCCGTCAGGGCCAAACACTGTACAGCTGTTATACAACTTCCCACTGTCCTCTTCAGGGATGGATCCTGATAAACAACAAGCCACAGGGTTAATTTCTCCACCATAAAAAGTTGGAGGACTTTTATGTCCTTTATTCCACTGAATTCAGACTCCTTATCAGCATTTAAACAGCTGAAGGTAAAACTGCAAGCTACTATCTACCAACTATTTTGATAATCAATCAATATAAAAGAACAAATATCAGAAATTCTGATTCCAGCTTCTTCAACAATAATATTTTCCAATTTCTTTCCTCCTCTATGACAGTAAATTGATTCTTCTGGGTTACGGACAAAATAAGACATTTAAGAGTATCATGTTGGGCTTTGGGAAACACCAATCGACAATTTCCGACATTTTCTTACATTTTAAAAGATCAAACAACTTATTAATTGAAAAAAAATAAAACACAGATCAATGTAATTGATCACTGGTTGCAGCCCGTGCTGTTAGCTCATAGCTGGTGGCAACATTTGTCTTTCCAATACTTGTGCCAGTAATGCTTCACCTCTTTCAGCGTGACTCAAAACTGATTAAACTTTAACTCAAGTTGCCTTCATTTACAGCCTTGGGAGCTGCTTAATCTACTAACCAGTACATTTATGTGCTGAGATAAAGTTTTTGCTGGTGCACAGAGACAATAAAAACAGTAAAGCAGCAGCAGGAACAAAACAGCTAAAGAAAAAAAATCCTGACTGGATATTTACACAATTATTTTCAGAAGTGAAGTTCAGTGTTTTCTGGGAGCCAAAGACAATTTATCTTACTGTTGTGTCCAATCCTTCACTTTTTTCTTCTACACTTATCGAAACTATTGTAAACAAGCAAAAAAAAATTGCTTCATCTTGTTCAGCAGGAACACAGGTAATCAATAACACGATGAGTTAATCTCATAACTGGTGGACAAAATCTGTCAGCCTTTAACTCTGAGGATCTCACACCATAACTTGAAACATGCAACTGACACTGAACTTCTCCACAAGTATTTACAAAAACCAGACATTCTATCAAAAGTACACCTTGTAGGTGCACCTTGTTAATGCCAGTTAGGACCCGCTTTTGCCTTGAAACTGCCTTAATTCTATGTGGCATAAATTCAACAAGATGTTGGGAACATTCCCTTGAAGTTTTGGAACATTTTGACAAGAACACATCCTAAAGGTGTTGAAATAACATCTGGTGACTGTGGAGGCCATTTGAGCACATTATGGTTCTAAAGGAATGGACGTGGCGTTGGACAATTATCTTTTTCTAAATGTAACCAAGTAATTTTGGTGCCCAAATTTAACCAAACAGTGACTGAAAACAAAAATAATATAAAGACTGAGCTGTTACAGGTGTGCCAAACAAAGTGAAAGGTGAGTGTACAGGTTAACAAAACATGAGACATGAATTTATCAATGTTTTTAGCAAATATCCAAGGATTCTTGAACAAAATTAACTTGCGACCTCAAGTAAACTGGATCAAAGAAATAAAAAAATGAGGTAAAACATTTGTAACACGTGGTCATAATCTGACACTAATGTGAATATATTCGGGTGACTTGAAGACACCTGAAACCAGTACATCAGGCAGATTTCCTTCTTCTACTCTATGTACTGTATGTAAGTCACTACAGCCACAGATGTTTCCCTACCTCCCACCAGATACACCTTACTCTCCTTCGCTGCCTCCGACAACACCTGGGTGGATTCTCCGGGGATCTTCTCAGCATATGAGGAGAAGAAGCTGGTCCCATATGGAGAGTTGAAGCATTCCTGTTAGTGACAGGTGACAAACCAGGTGAGTTTCGGTCTCTTTGGACACTGACTGTACATCTTCCCAGTGTTTCTCATCATGTACAACTATGTCAAAGGACCATCAGGAGAGACCTGGATCTCGAACTCCACCTGTTCAAGAGTGTGAGCTGGTAGGGGCTGGTGAGCTAAACTGATATAAACAGACTTTCTTCAGAGCAGACATTTCAACGTAGTAGAAAACTCACAGATGAAACAAATATTATTTACAGTGACTCTGCACCATGGACAGATTATGAGCCAACGCATCCCTGGACACAAACGTCTAATGGGCCACCACATTCTCCTACACATGTGGACAAAATTGTTGGTACCCCTCAGTTAATGAAAGAAAAACCCATAGAATTTTTATTTATTATTACTTTTGTCAGATTCAAGTTATGTCTGTGATCGTTGTGGGTTTTTCTTTCATTAACCGAGGGGTACCAACAATTTTGTCCACATGTGTACATAGAAGCAAGACACCCAGAGTGAAAAGGACACAAGATGACTACAAAAAACACGGATGTGTTTCTAGTCTCTTTNATCCCTGGACACAGACTTCTAATGGGCCACCACATTCTCCTACACATGTGGACAAAATTGTTGGTACCCCTCAGTTAATGAAAGAAAAACCCACAATGGTCACAGAAATAACTCGAATCTGACAAAAGTAATAATAAATAAAAATTCTATGAAAATTAACCAATGAAAATCAGACATTGCTTTTGAACCGTATTTTAACAGAATTATATTAAAAATAAACTCATGAAACAGGCCTGGACAAAAATGATGGTACCCGTAACTTAATATTTTGTTGCACAACCTTTTGAGACAGTCACTGCAATCAAACAATTTCTGTAATTGTCAATGAGACTTGTGCACCTCTCAGCAGGTATTCTGTCCCACTCCTCATGAGCAGACTGCTCCAGTTGTCTCATTTGTCTCAGGTTTGAAGGATGCCTTCTCCAGACGCCATGTTTCAGCTCCTTCCAATAAATGTTCAAATAAATATTCAAATGTTCAATAGGATTTAGATCAGGGCTCATAGAAGGCCACTTCAGAATAGTCCAGTGTTTTCCTCTTCGCCATTCTTGGGTGTTTTTATCTGTGTGTTTTGGGTCATTATCCTGTTGCAAGACCCATGACCTGTGACTGAGACCAAGCTTTCTGACACTGGGCAGCACATTTCTCTCTAGAATACCTTGATAGTCTTGAGATTTCATTGCACCCTGCACAGATTCTAGACACCCTGTGCCAGATGCAGCAAAGCAGCCCCAGAACATAAGAGAGCCTCCTCCATGTTTCACAGCAGGGACAGTGTTCTTTTCTTGATAGGCTTCATTTTTGCATCTGTGAACATAGAGCTGATGTGCCTTGCCAAAAAGTTCCAGCTTTGTCTCGTCTGCCCATACGACATTCTCCCAGAAGCTTTGTGGCTTGTCAACATGCAGTTTGACAAATTCCAGTCTGGATTTTTTTATCATTTGTTTTCAACAATGGTGTCCTCCTTGGTCGTCTCCCATGAAGTTCACTTTGGCTCAAACAAGGATGGATGGTGCAATCTGACACTGATGTACCTTGACCTTGGAGTTCACCTTTAATGTCTTTAGAGGTTGTTCTGGGCTCTTTTGTTACCATTCGTATTATCCGTCTCTTCCATTTGTCATCAATGTTCCTCCTGCTGCCACGTCCAGGGAGGTTGGCTACAGTCCCATGGATCTTAAATTTCTAAATAATATGCGCAACTGTAGTCACAGGAACATCAAGCTGCTTGGAGATGGTCTTATAGCCTTTACCTGTAACATGCTTGTCTATAATTTTCTTTCTAATCTCCTGAGACAACTCTCTCCTTGGCTTCCTCTGGTCCATGTTCAGTGTGGTACACACCATGTCACCAAACAGCACAGTGACTACTTGTAACGCTATAAATAGGCCGACTGACTGATTACAAGTTTGTAGACACCTGTGATGCTAATTAGAGGACACACCTTGATTGAACATGTCCCTATGGTCACAATATTTTCAGTCTTTTCTAGGGGTACCATCATTTTTGTCCAGGCCTGTTTCATGAGTTTATTTTTTAAAATAATTCTGTTGAACCACGGTTCAAAAGCAATGTCTGATTTTCATTGCTTAATTTTCATAGTATTTTTATTTATTATTATTTTTGTCAGATTCAAGTTATGTCTGTGATCGTTGTGGGTTTTTCTTTCATTAACCGAGGGGTACCACCAATTTTGTCCACATGTGTACATAGAAGCAAGACACCCAGAGTGAAAGGGACACAAGATGACTACAAAAAACACGGATGTGTTTCTAGTCTCTTTGTGGTCTTGGTCATTTTAAGGCTTTTGTATCTATTGGTGTTCATTTTCTGTCTCAATTTTTAACGATTTGTATTTGTTTTGTGTCATTTTGTCATTTTTTTTTGGGTCATTTCAATTCTCTTGGCAGTTGCTTTGTTTCTCTTTGTAGCTGTTTGACTCGTATTGAGTAATATTGAGTATTGTTGTAGTTATTTAGAGTCCTGCAGAGTCTTTATGTAGTTGTTCTGAGTCTCTTTGTAGTTATTTTAGGTCATCTCAAGTCTCTCAATAGATGATTATAGTCATTTTGCATCATTTTGTCATTACATTGTGTCTCTTTGTAGTGCTTTGATGTAGGAAGGAGACATGTTATGAGGTCCCGACAAACAGAAGCTCTGTACCAGGGCTCCCTGACTTCCTGGACCTGCACCCAGTAGACCCGGTTATTTATACTTCTATGCTCTGCACGTGTATGTCCTGACAAGTCATGACAGTCAGCCTGCATGCACAATACTAAGAACCTGACATGCACACCAAGCTAAACGGAAAGAAGTCGTATTAACTACACCTGTGCTTCTCCTGCTAAAATCAGTGTAGTCACAAAACACTGTGCAAAAGTGGTACCGAAGGACTCAAACGGAATACACATGTCAGAGAGCAGTGTGACAGCCAGCCCCAGCCTCCCTCCTCCTCCTCACCGGCAGCAGCACCACCTGTCCTCCCCCTCCTGCGGCCTCCTTCACCAGCCGCCGGACTCTGCTCAGGTTGTCCGCTTTGACGCTGCTCACCTGCAGCTGGACCACCGCCAGCCGGAACTCTGAGGAGACAAACACAGTCGGTGTGTTTCTGCAGCGGCTTCACTGGAAAGACTGTTCAACACTGAATGAAGGAGACTTTTTATTATTACACTCAAAGATTTAAAATGAAAAAATGTGTATTAATGAGAGAACTTTGTACTCACTCGACATGACTTTCGCTAAAGTTGACATGAACGCAGAGTTCAGTTCAACCCTCTGAGCTTCAGAAGCAAAGAATGTGTTTCCGGGTGGTTGTCAGGATTTCAAAATACAAGTCTACAAATAGGCTGATATTTCACAGTGTCCAATAAATCAAAATTAAACAATTCTAAACAATAACATTAACCATTTATAGATATAAAATTATCATTATTCTTAATTAAGTGATTTTACGACATATTCTTGAGTTTATGAAAAGGAGACATCCCTTAATGTGAAGTTTAGAGGCGGGGTTACGTCACCCGGGGTGGATATTAACCGACCAATCCGGTGTCAGTGAGAGTTCACAGGATTTTCCTTAGTGTTTATCGATAGAAAAGAAAGGAATTGACATCAAGCACTCAATATTTGAAGGTAATAATCCCCCCCATTACCAAACAGTCTGTTTAATAATCATTCAGTGTGCCACAAAGATGGTGCAGGTCCAGAGGAGGCTTTTCATTCTTTCACCAGAAGTTTTTCCATAAGGAGTTAAGGTTTATTTTTGTTTGTTTGTTTTTTATTTCAAATTATGGGACACTTTGGGAATGACTAAACTCCCTACAGTTTTACCACTTTCTGGGGTGGACATAAGTCCAATATGCATGTTCAGAGTCGCAAACCTTTGGGGATAAGGAATTAGTGAAAACGAACACGTGTAAGGGGTTTATGTGCTGTATATTTATACTAATTAAGGTGAAGGTAAACAGGACAGTAACAGAGAGAGACAGCTCTTCATATTGCTATGAGCTATTTGCAGGGTCTGTTTGATTATTTGTGTCTGCCTACACACATCTACCACTTCTCACTAAAGCAGCTGAACACGACAGTCATTCGTTTCACTGTGACTTGTTTGTACATTGACTTTCCTATTTCTGTTTCAATTTCTGCTTGTATAAATATGGAGGAAAAAAAGTATTCACTTCTTGTTGTTGGTCATAGCTGTTTGATTTCGCTACAGCAAATCTAACTTTCAACCTTTTAATGAGCATGCACAGATGCAGTCGAACAATCTCCATTTATTAAAAACATAAACGCTTAGAAAATAATAGCAGTACAGTAAGGTGCAAATTACACTTTAGACATGTTGCATTTTCGACCAGTGGTTGACATCCTTTGCCAGTGATGTAACAGAGGAATGTAAAGACTCCCATTCGAGGATGTTCCAGTCAATAAGAATACTGAAAAATATCACAAAATTACAAATTACAACACAATGCATGGATTACACAGGAATGCAATGAGAGACTGGAGAGAACAAAGACCAGATTTTAGAGTCTTTAATTCAAGATTTGGTTTTTCTTGTCCATATTTTAAATGTGCCTTATGTTTTAGTCAGGATGATGAACCATTGTGTATTTTTTTTTAAAAGGGGATCAACGCTCTCTGGACTGAAAATTCAACTGCAGCAGTCACAAAGGAGGCTCTGACACTTCTAACTCAGGCTGCCGACACAACTAGACTTCAACGCAAATGTATAAGTAAGCAAGGAGAGAGCGAGGAAAAGTCCAAAACAGATTAGAGGAGAAGCAGCAGTATACTGTGATATGTTGCCACTGCTGGTGCCAATATCACACATCACAGGCATGAGGCCGAAGGCAACAGTGGCAAGCAACTAAAGCTGCTCAGTTTCGACTAATGCAACCGACAAGACAGATTTGAAAACATAGATATATAGTAACTTTCCTTTAAACAAATAATCTTTTCATTCAAAACTGTGCTTAAAAGTGCAAAGCACAGTCCGAGTTACAGCGATCTTTACCTTTTCAACAGTTATCAGCCTTCTGTGATTAAAATATTTCACCGGCACATTTTCATTTAGTTTTCTGGGAAAGACGTTCGCATCTGAATGGGATGAAAAAAAAATACTGAGGTGCTCAGGCTCTTTACAATCACTGAACCTCCTCTTGTACTTCTAATGTAGTCCAGACATGTGTGGACGATGCTTTCTGAGAGCTACATCAGACTGCTATGAGATGAGGTTAATTCATTATTAAATGTAAAAGCAGAGAATAAATTATCTCCCAGAAACACTGTGAACGACTTACTCTAGAAAGAAAGGGAACTTCAAACCGTATGAAGCCAGATGAAAGTTTCGCAGCATTGTTCTAGCTATCAGGATATGCTTTCAAAACGACATTGCAAAGGTCTGTGCTGATATAGAGCAGTTTACACAATATATACAATACATATTTATAAACACCCTCAAATAACTTCTATTTAAGGCTGCCTGCTGGAAAACAAAAATTATCAAAAACAGTTGTTGTGGTAGGAAATCTGTCTCATGTGCCAGCACTGCTATTTTCTGGGGGGGGATGTGCGTTTTTTATGTCCGAGCTGGCTGACTCATGCTCCCTTCCTGACCAGAACGATGACATGTACGTTAAGAGAAATGCAATACTGTTCACAACAAAAAGGGTCAGAACTGAGAACTGGAGAAGGTCAGTCATGTGTGGATTGAACTGGTCGGCCAGTACGCTACGTTAAGGCCAGAGGGAAATCATCAAAGTGGAACTGCACTGTAATGACACCCCATGTTGTACTAATAGCAAAGAAGAACATACACTATAACCAATATTGTTTTTTTTTGTTTGTTTTTGTTTTTTAAAATTAGTGTAAGATAATGGTTGGATGACTGCGGAGCACCTAAGTATTTGAACAGCCTGTCCCAACAGGTCTGCAGTCGGCGATGTGCCCACATGTCCCAGAGACAGACACACAGGGCTTCACTGTCAACACTGCACTGGGATCTGTCCAGGAGGGAGGACACCCGAGGGAGAGCAGGAGGAGGTTTCACTCTTGGCAGACGGAGACTCTTCTTACAGTTTGTGTCATGGGCGGTTGTCACAATCTCCCACAATGACCCCGTCGTCTCTATTTACGAGCTCTCGAGAGCGTCTAGGACTTTCATGATCTGCTGCTTGATGACCTTCGTAGCATCGCCCGCGTTTGGTATCAAATATCTGGGAGAGAGAGAATGGGAGAAGATGACGTTAGCTCAGAGTAGACAGTGGCAATTACATTTATCAGATACAAAAAAAATATCAACAAAGAGAAAATATTCAATGTCAAGCTTCAGTAAAACACAGTCTGATAATAATAATATTGTCCTATAAATAACGCAAATCTAATGGATTTGTTGGCAATGTTTAAATTAAAAATTTGTCTATGAAATTTTTAAATATACTTTAACCCTTTGAGCCAGAGAGTACTTTTAGGGACATTTCACTACCTGTACTTTTAAGCTCTTATCTTGGTCAATGTAAGTTCTAGTCATACATGTTGTATCTTGTCTGTCAGAACAATGCAGCCTATCCAGATTTTTCATTACTGGACATACGTGATGTATATCAAAGAAAAAATATATATTACGAGACTGTTATATCTGTGCATGTATCTCACTTTAAAATCTAACACAGTATAAATATTTTTTCATAACTGTGTAGAGAAGATTGTCTGGAATCTAGCCATATCAGAACTATGATGTTGGGACACTGTGACACATACAGTGGCCTACTTGCAGAAGTAGCAACCTATGATTTGACCATTTGATGTCAATTTGAAATTATTTTCTTTTGCACACACTTTGCTGTCCAGACAAGTAACAAGAAAAGATCTTTGATATGTGTTACACCTTGCTGCAATAGATACTTTCAGAGAAAATCAACTGAGAAGATGGGATGTAAATCTGGACACAAAGGGCACCCATCAAGATCTAAGGGGTTAAAAAAGTACAATTTCCTTTCAAGCACAGTTTGAATAATATCATAGGTCACAAAAAAACTCAGTAAAAAAGAAACAACTGACCATGTTCGCCCAAATGTAAGATTACGTTCTTTTCCAGAAATTATATTTTGAAAAAAACAGGTCGGGGTTACCTCTCGACAGCCGATATCTCCACTCCAGCTGAATTGTTGCTCCCAAACTTGAACGTGATCAGTTCCGGGTGCTTCTTTTTGGATGTGATCTTCACCACAGAGTTCAGTGCTTGTCTGGACTGGATGTAGGCAAAGCCTTTCCTTGAGGCGATTTCCCTCAGGCAGTACATGTGAGTCGCTGTGATCAACAAGTGACTGGAAACACAGAAGAGCAACAGAGTCTGTGTTAAGATTCAGAGAGTGCTTCTTTATTCATTCGTTTTGAGGAACTAAGGATTAGCGTGTTTAAATGCAAAATTTCCCACTGCTCATCCAATGCAAATTCCTACACCACTGACAGCCAGGGGAGGAAGATGGGTGTCAGGGTGTCATATGAGAAATATTTTTACACTCACATTAATTACAATAGTAAGTTGTTTAACTCACCTGGGGAACATGTGACCTGTTTCTTTCACCTCATTACATGGAATGTGATGTTTTACATCTGGTTTGTTTATCCAGGTCTGAATGTTGACAATTTCCTTCCGGTCGTCATCCGACATGGATGAACTGTCGATCTCATCTGAAGGAACAACACATGGAATTTACTATTTGGTTTTTTCAAAATAAAAGCCCTTACAAGACTGAAAAATATCACTTTCCATCCCATTTTTCTACTGTAGCTGCATTTTACCTGTGTCATACTCTTCTTCATCGCCAATGCTGAAAACAGGCTTCACTCCCCGGTAAGGTTTGCCAACACGGTCACTGCTGCTTACATGTCTGGTCACACAAGTCAATTAGAGAGTCACTGAGTAAATGTTGTTAGTACCTGTAGTGAAATCATTGAATAAATACACGTAACAGAAAGTTTGCACACAAATAGCAATGGCATGAAGGCCTCCAGGCTGCAGTAAAAATGATTAGACACAGGTTATGCTGTTAAATACAAAAGCAAGAGGTTAAATGAGACATTTCTAGTTGGGTATTAGGGGTTACAGATTAGCAATTTTATGATATTCAGGGCTATTTGCAGCAAATTGTTTTTATGGTTTGGTATAGCCCTGGCTATCATGAAGAAACAATAATGAAATGGAAAGACAGGTACATCTCCAAGCAAACGGACGTGAAGCTGAGGTTCACCCTAAACACCTCAGTTACTCTGACTACATGACTTAATGTTTCCTAAAGGGCCGCAGCACTTCCAACAGTGCAAACTAAACAGCAGCTGAATGTTGTTAGTGAAAGCATGAATTAAGACCTTAAAAGACATTTCTTTGCACTCAGCCTGCCCAGACTGTATGTGCTGTTACATGAGTGAGCTGTGAAGGCAGAGATGCTAAGCATGCGTTAATGTGAGTCTCCAACAATCCCAGGGACTGGTGCGGGTCTACAGCCAGTGGGCATGCTGGTGACAAACAGCTCGATGTTTAGGAGCTCTTACCGATCTGGAATCACCTTCTCTGGCCAGGGCAGATTGAAAGATATTCTAGCATGGAATAAGGCACAAGGGACTTAATTTAAGTTAAATTACAACAAAACCGGAAAATTAAATGTCTCTAACATTTATTATTATTATATGTTATTGTAAATGATACGTGTAATTCAGTCCAGTGTACAAAAAGTGATCCACTCGAGCAGCGCAAGGAAACACATTTTACAGGCTACATACTGAATGTGTTTAGTCAGGTATTCCTCAAGCACTAAAATGATAGTTTGGTTTATTTTAAGTTGGGTTGTATGAAATACCTACCCATACTTGTTTTAATTACAGTAATAGATACAACTTATGTAGTTATATTGTGCTCTTCAGTAATATTATTGCGTACAAAATGGGAGTTGCTGGTCTTACAGTGTGACTTTAGTGTTTTAACACAATCACATATTCAACACAAATAAGTGTATCAATCAAGGCAGCGACAGACAAGTAACTCATGTTTCCTGCAAGGTAAAATCAATGGAGTCTGGTGGCTTTGCAGAAAGCAAAGAGTGATGTAAAAGTTTCAGTTCCTTGTCAGAAAGGGCTGTCAGACGACACAGTGAAGCAGTGAAAAATGTAGAATTAAAGAACATTTTGAATATTTTTTAGCTGGGCCTCCTTCAGGTGGCTAAAATATCATTAGTAGCTGACCCTGTCCTCAGCAGCACACTGCTGAGCTTCCGTGCTCTGTGCCTTGACAAACTGAGAGCGTTCTGACCATCATCTACTGTTGGTGATACACAACTATGTTTAAGCACCTCATACAACACCACCTGAACTATCCCTTCAGACTCAAAGGACAAACTAGCAGTAGCTCTCCTAAATACTATTTTTGGTTGACTTACAGTGAAAAGGAATATAACATCTGTTTTCAGGAGATAATGTTTTGTTGTGTGTTGTTTTTAGTATTTAATTCCTTAAAGTAAACCATACAGTAAGAATTTTGTCGTATCATTATATTAACTTGTAACTTCGGATTTAAAAATGTAGCAAAACCTAAGATTTGCACCAACAAAGTTAGAAGCAAAGCATTGCAGTGTGTGTTGTAGTGTGGGTTTCAATGATGAAGGTTTCTTTGTTAGGAATTCAGAGGAACAACATGGTTCTCACCTGTCTACTGGGGTGGAGGTGTTCTCAATGAAGCTGATCATCTTCTCCTTCACATTGACTGACTTGGACTTTAGAGCAAAGGTCATTTTGTTGACCAGGGACTTTACACCTTTGCTGTCTCCAGGGCTGCTCAGAGACTCTCCCTGTGTTGTTGTGTAAAGAAGGAAAGATATATTTAAAATCAGTGTCAGTGATGTTCTTCACCATAAACTTTCGCTGTCTTTTCAGCATCTTTGGCTACTTACATCAGCAGAGCTGAGACTGCTGTGAGATCCAGACGTGCTGACGATCCAGTGGACATATGAAGAGTCCAGACCCTCGACATTCATATCTACCAGATGCTGCTGGAGGGCTAAAATTACACAAATCCTAGTGAGTTTTTAGTTTCTAGTGTCAGTGACATTTTTTACAATGCAGTAACATAATCTAATAATAAAACATTGTTCCAGGTTTTAGCCAATGTAACTTATTTTAACAATTATATCACAGTTGATGATGGTTTACAGAAAATGTTTTTAAATGTGCTTTTCTTTCTTTTTAAAAAAAATGTAAAACAGTTGTGTTGGCAACTGACTCCAAACTAAATTGCCCCCCTGGGACAACAAAGACTATCCAATCAAATCAAACAGGCAGAAAAAAGGTGATTTTGGGTGTGTCTACATCAGGGGTGTCCAATCCTGGTCCTCGAGGGCCACAGTCCTGCATGTTTTAGATGTATCCCTCTTCCAACACACCTGATTCAAATGATCAGCTCATCATCAAGCTCTGCAGAAGCCTGATAACGATCCTGATCATTTGAATCAGGTGTGTTGGAAGAGGGAAACATCTAAAACATGCAGGACTGTGGCCCTCGAGGACCAGGATTGGACACCCCTGGTCTACATTCATTCATGGGTAATCGTAGCAATGGATTGCATGTGCATGTGCATATTTCTGCCTCCGTGTGTACACTGGCTTCTCATACAACCTAATATAACCTACTTACCCATGAAACCTCCTTTAGCGATGCTGACATATTCTTTGTTTTTCTGTAATAGAAAACATAAAACTAGCATAATGCAAACATATAGCACATAACATTGGAAAACACAGAAATGAAAGCATTTATGTTGCAAAACAGGAAAAACAGGACACACAAGGAACTTCTCATTTTCTGTCCAGCTGATCTTTCATCTAAAGCAAAAATATTTGCCCAGTACAGTTTAACTGATGTAAGGATTTTTAAATCTGTTTGACAAAATGACACATTTTCAGACATTATGATTTTAAAAACTCTGTTGCACATTTTTTTTTATTGTTTGGTGCAGCCCTAGCTTCACCTCTCACCTGTAGGAAATGTGCCAACACCATGTTCATGTACATGTCTTCCTCTTCTCTCCCGCTGCCCATGAAGCACAAGTGCTCTCCACTGGCGATGGAACCTGACTCTAAGGACTGCTTCTGTGCCTCCAAGAGGGATTTCACAGAGAGTGCAAACTCAGAGGGATTCTGGAGCATCTGTGGGAAGAAAGGAAACATACTTATTACATTCATGTATTACTACTACTTACATTTTCATACAGAATCAATATGTTCAATATGTCTTACCAGGTCAGAGTCCAGGTGGAAGGCCGTGGACAGATGTCCAGCATTGTACTGCTCTGCTGGCCGACAATCCACCACAAAGAAACGTACCCCATCCTACAAAGAAAAATCCATGTTTATCATATTACAAGCTATCTTCTTTCCTTTAACTCATGTGCAGCGTGGCAGAGATGAATAGTTTCTTGAAACTGGTAAAATGCTAGATTGTCACTGACCTGCTGCAGCTGGTTTGCCTGCAGGATTTCAGGGACGGACACAGGAAGACACAGTGCCTGACTCAGGTCAGTGTCCTCTTCTTTAAGAGCCACCAGGCTGCTACCAAACAGATTCTGGTTCATCTACCAGACAGAGAGGGGAAACACACAATAATGGCATTGAAACAACGAGTTCTTTTGTGAAGCTGCCTGCACTTCTTTGTTAGCTTTGTCGTCACAGTCCTGTTTGTTCTCAGTGTGTATCAGGCACGTGAGTCTATATTTGTACATTGAACTTTTGTTTGTACATTTAAGCTTTACCTTTCTGAGCGACAGAGGGGTTTTGCTCTGGTAATACTGGGCCAGTGAAAACAAATCTTCAATGTCCTCAGCTTCCAGGAGTGAAGGAGACGCTTCCAGCATTTCTGTGAGAAGACAGTGTTGTTTAAACTCAGTTCTTAACCAGATATTGAACAAAACTAGAAGTAAGAGGTCAGAAAAACAAACTCACTGATAATTTCCTCTTTACTGTCTCCTTCTTGTGAAAGGATGTTCTCTCTGAGGGTGAAACAGAGACAAATCAAATGTACTTTTTGAGATGTAAAAATTTATGTTTCACTTTCGACATGGTACAAGTCTGAACTGCGTGCAGTTGCAAGTATGACCGAATAGACTCACACAGGATTACGGTATACTGACGTAGGACGTTGTTGCATATAGTGGGCGACATGACTTCAAGTATTACACGTCATTAAACATACTTTCCAATCATGTGTGAGTACCATGTCTCTCTCAGTCACTACCACAATCTATGTTTGCTTGAAGCTGTGAGGAACACTGACATAATAATTTCATTAACTGATGAAGCAGCAATGGTACTCATCCCAGGTTTGAAATGGACTTAAGAGTAACTGATTGTTTCTGTAAAAACTTCCACTGGTGGTTTGCGTACTTGGCATTGACGAGGATGATGAGCATGAGGAAGAAGATGAGGAAGGGGTCAGCCTGCTGGAGGTAGGAGTCCCACAAAGACTGGGTAACTTCAGGAAGGCAGTGGCTGGAAAAGAGACTGCCCATCTATGGAGGAAAAACAACCAGACGCACAGTTCAGGCACAGACACATCCAGATTAAGAGTTGGACCGTCAAAGATACAAACATACCCAGTTGATGGCATACGAGTCAGGTGTGATCTTTTTGGTGTCCAAGAAGGAGCAGAGCTCTGGCTCATGATACTGCAGCAGTAGTCTGTACAGGTGGAAAGGTCGGCCTTTTGGCACACAGTCTCTGAAACAGACACATTTTGCAGACATTACAGTAAAAGTTTCCATCTCTATGTGAGCAGGTAAAATGATCATGGTTAAGATTATTCACCTGGGGATGTATTTGTTCATGATAGCATAGAAGCAGTTGTAGAGGTCGCTGCGAGGCAGCTGAAGCCCCAGCAGTGGTTTGAGCAGGTGTGGCCAGCTGAGCTCAGGGGTAAACATAATGTTGCGGGACTTGCAGTAGAAAGTGATGACAGACTCAACATCGGACACCATTTCACTTGTGTCTTCCTCTGTTGATCCCAGCTGGTCTAAACATGGAAAACAAGGCAGGTGTCAGTGACCTTTTTCCATAAGCACCATGCACATGTTTCCATCCACACTCAGCATTCAAAAACAGACAGTGGAGAAAAGATGCAAACTTATAAAGACATATTTTTAAAAAAAATCTGAATGTACACTATACATCAGAGAGGATGATTTGTCTTTTTCCTGGAGGGACCATGTGGTCCTCTTGTTTTTATAAAGTATTTTCTATTTTGAGCCACTTTTGAGCCAGATCTGGTTGTTAACTTGTCAGGACAGCAGAATAATCAAAGCTATTTATTTCTCCAAACTCCTGAAGATCTTCGGCAGTGACTGAGACTCAAAATGATCACAGATCTTTCTTTTTTCCTGCTGTGTATTATTGCGTGTGTGTTAGTTCAGAGTGAGCCCGACACTCAGCAACCACAAGAGGCTTCAACTCATGCATCAAAGTAACACTTTTATCGACCACATTTCAGAATATCAGCAGCACATTATGTGTGTAGCATTAAGATAGATTGTACAAAGTATCTCATCTCAGGATATTAGTGAAAAATGTAATATTTTTATGAAGTTGCTGACATCTTTTTAACACCTCACACTACGTGATTCATATCAAGGACATGCAAAACCGTTTATCCACTAAAGGTTCTCTGAACTGCCTTACATTATCTAAAGCAGGGGTTCTCAAATGGTGGGTCGCGACCCAAAAGTGAGTTATTAATTTGCTCAAAATGGAGTGAAAATATGTTTTTTGTGCCCTTTTTTATTTTGTGCAGTTTTGTACATGCAGTTGTCATGGTCCAGTTACTATGCATGGTTATATGCTCTGAAATGCATGTTGCACAGGAAAATATATTGAATTCCAAAAAAAAATTGGGTCGCGACTTAATGACCATGGGAAAATGTGGGTCCCAGGGTGAGACCAGCTGAGAACCCCTGATCTAAAGGGTAAAGCTGTTCTGGAGTTATCGAACAGCTTATGAACATGCTCTATAAAAACACTGTATTCAAAATAGCTCTACAGAGAAGTGCAGCAGATAATGCCTCTTTTCATAAAATCGTGTTGCCCATGTAAAACCACGAACACTGTGACACCTATTAGCCTTAAACAGAGCAATTTTTCACCTTCATTTTCAGGTGAAAATTGAGTTAAAGTATTGACAAGGGGAAACGGTTAAATTCATTTTGTTTATGTTATTGTACTGACTGTGTACTTTTGCAACTGCAAATCCAAAACTCAGGATTGTGTCAAACTATTCAGAGGCGATTACTCACCGATCAGCTGTTGACTGCGGTTGTGAATGAGCGTCTGTTCTGGCAAATCGAGGACGCCGTCCCAGGGAGACAGGCTGTCTCCTTTTCCAGAGACATTTAGAGCGATCTGCCAACACAAAAACAAGGATTTACTGCTAAACGTGGAGCTACTGAGTAATACAGAGACAACTGATAAACACACAACAAAGATTCATCTGCAATCAGTGGTTTAAATGGTGCTTCAATGGACAACAAATGTATGTAGATAGAACTTGACATAGAAGCTGAAAATATTATTAGTGGATTATTCAGAGACAAAACCAAACAATTAGCTAATGCCTCTTTTCACAAACTGCTGTTTTCCATATACTGGAAAAACACTAACATGTATGAACTTATGAAAAGCAACGTGTCACTCTCATCTTCTTGTCAGTTGTTATTTTCAAACACAGAATTAAAGAACAAACACACATAAATGAATGAAGGTAAATTAACTGGCAGAAACTATCGACATTTTCAGCATTTGCTTACATACTTTACAGAAAAACTGGTTGTGCGTAGGTTGTAGGTGTGTTTCACGTAGGACTAAAGCCTTTTATTGCAGGTGTGTCAGTACAAGGTGATAACAGTGACATCAGTTGAGCCAAAGATGCTGGTCTTTCCAGTATGGTGACGTCTGTCCGCATTATCAGAGTCTAAAAATAGAAGAACTACGGCTTCCATATGCATACCCAATATTTTGTACATTGCTAACAGTTGTCTTTATTAAATAATACATTTAAAACTGCAGTCTAACAGTCATGTTATAGGTGAACTAATAGGTTTCTTACCTTCCACATCTTGGCCCTGTGTTGAGCTGAATGCTCCTGGACCTGGATGATGCTCCTCTCCATCTCCATGTCTGAGCCACCAGAGTCCAGAGCCTCAGCTAGATCCTGGTCCCTGAAGAGGCACAAACAGAACACCACTTACTTAACCATTCCCATAAAGTATAAATGAAGTTTATCATTATCAAATAATAAAGATAAAATCTCAACAGTTTGTTATATAATCCAGTACCCAGTAGTCACATTTTTACACTGGGAATTATTGAAAAAAGTATTGGGTCATAATGATTGGTTATTAGCAAGCAAAAATTGCTTAGGTAATCAACTAGGATTACCCTGACTTTAATTCAAATACAGACAAAATTAGAAATCTTTCAGCGATAACTTTGCTTTCTAATGACTTGTAGTATTCACCTGAAACTAGAGTTAACATCTCATAAATGATGAAGTTTGTTCAGATGTGGTCAACTAATTGATACATTTATTACGAAAAAGAAAAACAATCATTAATTACAGCAGTGTGTGATTACTGTCATTTAAATACTCACAACACTGAAAAAACACTTTTTTACCAATGTCAGTAGGGCTTACTAATATTGTTTATGAATCTGTCAGTTATTTTCTTGATTGATCAATTAGTTGGTTGGTTTATAAAATTTCAGATAATGCTAAAAAAAAACCCAACAACAACAAAAAAAAAAACCCCCAAATGCTGACCAGTGATTTCCAAAGCCTCAAATGTCTTGTTTTGTCTACAACCTAATGATATTCAGTTTACTGTCATAGAGATGTACATTTTAAGTATGGCTTATTATTTATTAATCTGTCAACTATTTACTTGACTAACTGATTAGTTGTTTGGTCTATAAAATGTCAGAAAATGGTGAGAATTGTTCATCAGTGTTGCCCCAAGCCCAAGACAAATCCTCAAATGTCTTGTTTTGTCCACAATCCAAAGATATTCCGTGTATTGTCACAGAGGAGTACAAGAACAGACAATATCCACATTTAAGAGGCTGAAATCTGAAAATTATGACTCTGATTAATTGATTTATTGTTGCAGCTCTAACTGTCAGCTGATGTTTTGGTTACCTTTTCATTCAATCTTAAACATCAGCAGGACTATTTAACAGGTGACACATGAGATGGGAAAGCTGATGACATTTATCTCCATATCATAACACAGCTCTTGAAAAAGTTTTTTAGTCACGTCTAGACAAATCCAATACTTTTTTGACAGTTCCACAAAATGAGGATATCACGTAATATTTGATTGTATTAGAGTGTAACATGAGAACAGCTGCGTTGTGCTGGTTTCAGGGCTGAGGTTTGTTAAAGGGAAGCGGCTCTCGGCAAACACCGGCTATCTGTCGAGCGAAGTATTAGCTCTCTCGCTAACAAGCGTCGCCTACAAACTTCTCAATACGAGAAAGGACGTGGTCAAAATAGATAGACTTGTATGGATCAATCTCAAAGGCACTTTGTCTATTGTTGTCCGTCTTAGCTGCCGGGCTGTTTATTTATCACAACCAACTTGGCTAATTCTCATTAGCGGGCTAGCTGACGAGCAGCAACGTTAACAAACTGCTTTCGGAGCAGCATCCAGCAAAACAGTATCACTCAGCTTCAGCTACTTTACACGGAAATATCTGAGCTGAAGCCGACACGACTGTCTGACAGTCGAAATAACGCCTCTGAAAATGTTAGTCCGACAACAAATTGTCTCACCAGCTGCCCTGAAGAGCTTCCTCCACGGCATCCGCCATTGTTGTGTTGACGGAGACACGTCAAATGTCGTCAACACGGCTGATGTGTCGTGCAACGCTGTCACTGAGCAACTGATGAGCTGTTTAAGTAATTGCTCTTGTTAAAAATAGATTAGATTTGTGGCACAGAATAAATTAACCATAATATAATAATATATTATATTCTAATATAAGAAATACTTGCATTATAATATATTACATATCATTGTATTACATAATAATAAAATTATCGTTAGAAACAAGTATAAAATTATAAGCAATTCAAAAGAAAAAATATTGCCAACATATGCTGAATTATGTGTAGTAAAATGTAATAATAATCAATATTGCAAATATGTAGGAACATGTAATATTAATTAGTAGTATGTAATATATGTATTATTAAAATGTAATATGTAACACTATCGCACAATAATGTGTAAGGAATACGGTCTATAACATAAACATTACATGAATACAATGTCAGTATGTGATATGTGTAACATAATGCATAGTATACATTACATACATATAATAAATATTTTAATGTATAACATTAATATTACTTACATATATTGATATCATATGTATGCAATATTCTAAATTGCTGATATTATTATGCACACATATTACATAACACTTTATATGTGTGCAACAAGTATAATAAATATATATCAAATACATACATTATTAGGTTAGCATCGTTGCCTCGCAGCAAGAAGGTCGCTAGTTCGCGTCCTGGTGAGGACACCCGGGATCTTTCTGTGTGGAGTTTGCATGTTCTCCCCGTGCAGCGTGGGTTCTCTCCGGGTTCGTCCCACAAGGTCTAAAACATGTTGAAGTTAATTGATGGTTCTAAATTGTCCGTAGGTGTGAATGTGAGAGTGTGCTTGGTTGTCTGTCTCTTAGTGTAGCCCTACGATAGACTGCTGACCTGTCCAGGGTGTCACCCTAAGTCAGCTGGGATAGAGTCCAGCATCCCCGCTGGATGCTTAACTTAAAAAAAAAAATGTGTGCAATACAAACTTAGGTGTCTACAAGTCAATGTTACGCAGCAGCAGCAGCACAGATGCCTAAGGAAAACGAACATTAAAGAAAAAAACAATAAGATCAGGCAAATAGAAACTGAAATCGTCTCAAAGGATTAATATATATATATATTTTAAATGCAATGAAGTCACTGAAATCAAATATTTTGGTGCAGCACAATTTAAATCTGCACAGATTAAAGAAACTTTCAGCAGCAGAATTCATTCCAAGAATTATAACTTTATTAGGATTCATATTCTCTTTCACTTTGGTCACCATACACGTCGTTGATGAAGAATGTCAGTTTAATTTCTATCAAACAGCCAAAAATTCAGGTTTACATCCTTTTTTTCAAAAGTTAACTCCTGTTTGTTTCAGTAAGTTTGAGGAAGATGATTGTGAGAAGTCATCCTCAGCAGCTGCAGCTCAAATGCATGATTTGGTTCTTTGTTATTCCCAAACATTCAGTGAAAATTTGCCATTACTGCTGAGATGATTGAATGTCCCACAGAAATATTTCTAAAACCTAAGAATACTGCAAACATACAAACATCCAGCAGTGGTGGCTCAATTCAGCATTTGTTCTTGTTTTGTTTTTCTACAGTGAACGGATGCTACTTGAGAACCAAATCATACACTGTACCAAGAGATTCCCAGGGCTGCATGTAAGTTCAGAAATAATAAGGCTTGGGTTGTGACAGTATATTTTGAAAAGGACAGGAAAAAAAAATAAAACATTAAACCACTTTCTTCAGTACTCGATGAAACCAAATGTAGAATGAAAAATATTCACAATAAAATAGAAAATAAATCATGTTTCTCATTTAACGCGAGCTAGGAAAAACCACTGAACATCCAATCCTGTGTGACATATTCTGACACTAGAGGCAATTCAAAAATAACATCTTCAAAAAAAAAAAAACTAAAAAAAGTCTATGTTTGTCTAGTCAAAAGTGTTTCGAACAAAATTTCATATAGTTAGGGTTTTCCTAGTGTTCAATACAGCACAAGCATTGCATTTACATTTATTTATAAAGTGAACATGCTGCACAAAATATATAAAAAAACAAAACAAAAAAAAAACAAAAAAAACAAAAACAGGCAATCCAACCATTAAAAAAAAAAGGATTCTAAACTAACTTGTGCAGGCCCGTACCCATGTGATCAATTCCAGCATTACAAATACAGACATTACACCATTTGACTATAATTTTAATCTTGCATTCAGAACTGATAATGTATGTTATAATATGGAAGTAGCCAGACAAAAACACTGTAGATCAGCATAAGTTAACAACTGAACAGTCCATTAGAATTATGTAAAGCTCTCACAGTATTTTCTGTAGATTGAAAAGTGTCACAAAAGCCTTAAAGTCAGTAATTGGTTCAACAGACTGCGCATATTTCAATTCTCTTACATTGTTAATTTCAACAGGTATACATGGACATTCATGTATGTTCTTCTCTCTAGATTACAACCTTTCTCTTTATTCTGAGCAATAAAAAGATTTGACAACAACGTCCTGGATGAATTAAGCCTCAGCAAAGGGCTGTGTTGGTTATACCCCCCGGGACACCTCACATTCTGACAAGCCACTGAGTCTACCTGAGGCCTCAGCTTGATTGTGAATAGAAATCCTTTCCCATGACCCCTTTAATGTGATGTAAACACGGTATATATTCAGGGTTCTTCCTTTTTTTTTTCTCCTCATATAATCCAGTACTCCTTTTTTTGTAAATTTTAAACAACAAATCAAAAGTTAAGTCAGACAGTTGCACTTTTAACACAGTTAGATTCAGCAATGAAGACTGAGATTGGCGAACAATTGGCAGAGAAGTTACAGTGTGGGAGGTTTCAGCCCGTACTTCCTGGCCACTTCTGTCTGGGCATACGCTGCATCACATAACGAGTACAAATGGGCCATCTCCATCTCTGACTTGGCGAGGTTAATTGCTTTGTTGAACATTTCTATTGCCTTGTCCAGATTGCCCCTGTAAAGAAAACATTCTGGTTACATTAGGTGTCTTTTTAAAGAACTTAATGTGTGGTTTCTGCTCAAACTGATGATTTCACCTTTGAACTTCAATGGTTCCCATAGTTTCATATGCAAAGTCACATTTGTTGTCGATCTCAATCGCCTTACTGATGAGTTCTAGACCCAAGTCGAGGTCTTGTTTCCACTGAAGCTGCAACAAACTTGATATGCACGGAACAATTACCAACATGACATATGAATGAATCAGAGATGTTTGTTTTTAATCAATACGCCTACATATACAAGAAAAACGGCCTACCCCTTGTGGACATATGTGGTGGCGTTGTCTGGTTCCAGTTCAATACATTTGTCATACATCTCGTCAGCTTTTCCAAACTGCTGCTGATCAGTCAAAGCCTGAAAAGAACGAAAAATGATTGTCATGTTGAGGACAACAGCAGGCTTACAGAAGTTGCTTTCTTTGTCCAAATGATGTTAACAAGTCAGACTGCCATCCCAATGTAGTGCATATCTTAACCAAATTTCCAGAAAATCAGCAAAAGAAAAGTTTTCATTTACTGCTCCTATGTAAATTCTCAGGAATTGTCCACACTGAGAAAAATCTTTGGTGGAGTCAGTTTCCGGTCTTGTTCTATTGAACCATTTCACAACAGGATGATGCATGAATATGGTGTAAACACGGCTTTTGCAATTATTTGCATGATTGCTGTGAATCCTGAAAATGAGTAAATGTCAATATTTTGAACTGGAATGAATGTCTGTTGTTTTCACCTAAAATACTTCAGTTCATTGTAGCAAATGTTTTTCTTCTGTACCACTGCACAGATTCTACTTAATGATAACAGACTGTTTCTGTTCCAGTCACTGTTTGTGTGCACTCAGCACTACAGTTTTAGAAAATGGCAGTTGCACCAGTTTGACTCAGTTCAGTTTAAAAGCTTCCAGAGACCTGGGGCCTGTACTACAAAGAGATATCAACATACCCAGGATATCTTTCAGAGATCCAGCTTGATTAACCCTAGCAATCGCACTAAGGAAAACCAGTCCTACGACGGTGGTTATCAACTCAGTAAGCCAACCCAGGTTTGTCTGATCTGAGTAGGAGCGTGTGCACATAAAATGGGCGGTGTTATCGGCATCTGACCAATCACGACTATGGAAAAGTCTGGCTGCAGAGCGGCTCACTTTACCGCAGAGGAGCAGAACGTACTCTTTACAAAATATGAAGAATATAAAAACATCATAGGAGCAAAAAGCAGCACCGTTGCAGCGACCAAAGCCAGGAAGGGATGCTGGCAGGAAACTGCTGACTGTGTGAATGTATAAGTTCATTTGTTTATAATATAATACAATATGATCACTGCTCCATCTTGAAGTCACGAATCAGACAATAATCTGACAATCTCACATCTGAGGATTCCTTTTAACTAATTTGCTGCCTAATGTATATACTTGTGGCATATCTGACATTTTTTTACTTTCAGCTGCAACCTTGGTGGCGTAAAAAGGACTTGGGAACAAATTAAGAACAAACAGAAACATAATTCAAAGCGGTGTAGGCTTATTAACGTTTCCTACAAATACATGCTTTAATGCTAAAGTCAGTTTACTGTTGTGGGGTGATATTGGTATGGAAAAAAATATGAAATAGCTTTGACATTGCCTGTAGCCAACAGGAAAAAAAATGAATGAAGGAAGACAGGAACTCATAGAGATCCTCGTCAGGGTGCGCTGTTTTGCCGGTCCTGAAAAACCCTCACGCTCCTCAGTGATCCCTCACAATTCACACTCCGATGTGTAGCGGGTCTTCTAGAAATGCTGATGCCATTTTGTTGAGAACTGCTTAGTTTTCTACTCCTTCTGAAGTTTTACAGGAGAGAATTGATTTTCAGTGGAGGTGTTTTTATACCCAGTGATCTCCATCTCCAACATAACATGCTGCGGAGCAGGTTAACCATTCAGTGTAAGTTACCATGGTGATGTAAGAAGTGAACCACCGTCGTAGGACCGA